CGCTGATGAACAACCAGGAGGAGGAACCAATTGCTCGTGATCCCAGTAAGTACGTGATGAATTTATCGAACGTACAACTTGATGCGTTGCAATTAGAAGCATTATCACTTGGGCTTGATTACAAAGTCCCCCCTAAGACCTTGAACGGCTTGTTTATAGAAGCCCAATTTGAGAACTTTTTTGACCAGTTTAAGGAGCTCCAACCAACTAGCCCTGATAAGCATATTTGGTTCAGAAACAAGTTAACTGATATCGCCCATAGAGACAATACGAAATGCATGCATCTACCAGCCTTCGTCTTCTTTCCGTGCTTTTCAAATTGTTGAAGGGAACTAACTGCTTTAAATATTATTTATTTGTAAGTAGTACAATGTAAGTAATAAGCTACTTGACAGTTTTACTCCGGTTTGCTCCGATTTCCACGGGTTAGCTTAGCGCGTTATTGTATCGAGTGCAATCTCACTAGTTTAGTCATCGATCTGTGATCGAGGAGCAGATGACGAATTGACATAGCGGACTACCCGCGTGCTGATTGGCTTCATTTAAAAGTCGTTCAGCAGTCCAACTACCTTGGCAACTGTATCAGCGCCTTTGGAGTATAAGATGAAGTCACCAAACGTATAGAAAAAGCTCCGGGAGCCCTTGATCACTTTTGCAACATTTGGCGCAGTTGTGACATCACCCTCCTCTTGATGGTTAACGTTCACAACTCTTCCTCCCAGCTCTCCGGTACTGCTGTGAAGTCTGGCCTATCATATCCACTGGCGTAAAGGAACACCGTTGCCTTCGCAGTTAACTTGATATCCGGTGGTAGCACCAAATTATCAATGAGCGTGTTCGCCATCTTATTTACGGCGCAGCATGACCATGCGGACTTATTGATACCGCAATTTCACGTACGAGGTCCTGATAGCTAGGCTTTGTGTTGCGTATGCCAATCCAACAGCTTCGAAGCGCATCGTTTGCGCTTCTGGGTTCTGGATAGATGCAGTGGGGCAACCGATAATTTGGACAAGAGGAATGAAGCTCTACTTCGAATTTGGCCTCGGTTGGTGCCTACTGAATTCCTGGTTGGGATGACAGGTTTGGATGGATGCACTTGTTGACATGGTGAGTAGCGGACTTCAGTGGTGTCTGTGTTGTAAGTTTTCTTCCCATCTCGTTTAGTTTCCTCTCTTTCTCTTTATTGGGGCGTAATAAAACAGCATCGTAATACTTATTGTTTTTTGCTCTATTTTATTTTTGTAATCACTTGACCGCTTTTTATTACGGCGCAGTTGCTGAGGCATTTCTCATCTTTATCCAGCTCATAAAACCATGATGACCGGTTCCCGATATTGATGCGTGTCTACTTCTCTATATTTTCACCATTCAACAGACAGCATAACTCTTGTTATATCATCTGTTGGTTGCTAGGGTTATGCAACAGGGACTTTGTGTTTCATGTACCTTTCGTCAAAAGGACTCATTCGGATACGGGTCCGTATAGAGTAGTTGTTGTTGAAACCGTGACAACACTAATAAACAAGAGTAAGGCCCAGGTTGGTAACCATTTAAGATCCGCGAAGGACGATTTAGGCAAGTGGTATAGTCTATATTCAAAGTCGACTATACCTCTGATGGTTTGTGGCTTACCAAAGGTACGCAAACCCGACGTTCCATTACGACACATAGTCGACGGTATAGGCTACTCGACCCATGAACTGGCTAGAGATTTGGCAAGGCCATTTCAGCCTCTAACAGGTCGAACGAGTACATTCATGAAGAACTCTTATGAGTTCGCTTAAATGAGCAAGTCTCATCATCGAGCCAGATGAATTTATGGCAAACTCTTATGTGGCATCACTTTTCATCAAGGTATCCAAGGAGAGATGCTAGGAGTAGCAAGACGTTATCTAAATGAAGACGTCACTCTAGATGATCGAACGAAACTTACGGTTGACCAAATACTCTAAGGTGTGAAAATGTGTCTTAACATTTCTTTATATTTCAGTCGAATCTCTACAGTCAGGAATCAGGCTTTGCCAATATCCCATGTACTGCCGAACTTGTATATGGAAGACTTCGAGAACAGGGCGTTAGCAAACATCAGTAACTCAGCGAAAGTTTGATGGCGTTATGTGGACGACACATTTGTACTTGTTAAACGGGATAAGAATGACCAATTGCTAGATCATTTAAATTCCTTTGACGATAGGATGGATTTTACTATTGGGTTAAAATCTTTTAGTGGTACAGTACCATTTCTTGGCTGCCTAGTTCACAGACATAGGGGAAATTTGAAGTCGACCATATATCGCAAATCAACAGATGCTGTTGGTGTACTACACTACTCTTCTGGTCATCCGAAGCAGGTTTACACTGAGACATCCTCGGCGCTGTTCTACAGGGCGCAAACTCTGTGAACTATGGAGGAAAACAAAAAGCCTGCGCGAAGGGTGCCAGTAGGCAAACTATTAGATAATGGTTACCCACGACAGCTATTCACACGCCAGTTACTTAAGGTGCTAAGCCAACAGCCACGACCCACAACGGATTGAATAGGGACAGTATGATTTCCATACAAAGAAGGCACTTCGGAGGGTACTAAACAAGTAAAACATAAGGGTGATCTTCCAGCGAGGTCAAACGCTACGTTTAATGCAGCTGCACCTAAAGAACCAGCTTTCCAAAGATAGGACAACTAACTGTACACATGTGTACATAGGCCAAACGGAGAGTTATGCGTACGATTTTCGGAGCACAGGAGGCGCATTTGAAGACCATCGACGAACGATTTTGTATACCTGGCAATATTAAGAGACGGCCATGGCTGTGCGTGCATTACACACGGGTCACCAGATCGACTTGGATAACGTAGAGGTCATTAGGGGGGTATACGATTAACGCTCCAGCGGTTGATTGCCGAGGCTTTGGAAATTACCAAATTGGACAGTTGTGGAGGGGGTAGAACTCTCCAGCGATCTTAGTCCGGCCAGTCTGACGAGCGTCAGATTGGATCGGTCAGACTGATTAGAAAGTGCAACTTAACACCCATTGTCACAACTATGGGCTTATCCGTCAATGCAATGACTCACAAAGAAACATCTGGACTATTTCCACTCTGCTTGAACCACATGCGGTGACATCGAGAACGGTAACCGTAATGTCACCTTGGTTCAAGTATCGCGGTTATCGTCCCTGTTCGCTATAGAATGCCACCTCTATTGCATACTGATTCACCTAATCTGACGAAACACTTGTGTCAAAAGCGAAATGTTGCCAACTCATGACTTCTCGATCGGTTCCAACTATCCTCCAAGATTTGTAACGCAGAAAACTACGTAAGCACGAGTAATCTGTGAATGACTGCATAGATTTGCTCCAATATTTTTCGCTGAAATTGAACCCATCAGAACTGATGCTAGCGTCCGACAAGCACGCAAACTTGGAAACCATTTAAAATGCCAGTCTACACAACCATCTGTGGGTTCATTCCATATGGAAACATACAAATGCGAAAGATATAAAACTATGGTAATTTTACAGCTGTTTTATCTGTACACGTATTACCACGTTGGGTGCCTTGTGCCATCCGATTTCCATGTTTACTGTGATTTCTACTCTGCTGGCTAGAGTATCAATCCTATTAATGGACATTGGTATATTCAGCTTGTTCTCATATCAAAGCAAATTGCACTATAGTGCAATTCTGCATTACTGGAAGCATTTACTAGTATCGGCTGCTGCTGCCGTCGATGCAAACTGAGGATTCCAAATATGGTCTAAAGATATTGGGCCATTTTCTGCATTTGCGCAGATTTTTTTACCTGCAGTGATGTGAACCATGAAACGCATGTTCACTAACTGGATCGACAAACTGCCAATATGGCTGTTCTACGTTTGTTAACTTATTGACAGGACGCTTCTACTCTTCAAGCAATTCGCATAACAAAGTCATTGTGACGCAAGGCAGTTGGTAGTGCCTAACGTCGATGCACCAGCTCTATTTATTTCGGAAGTTAAATCATTCATTTTTTTCTGTGCAGAGAAACATGTGTGTGTTCACTTTTTTCGTCTTACCCAATATCTACATGTTCGCTATTCATGACAGCTGGTAATCAACTGTTAAGCCCATGACCATGGCGTTAAGTCGGGCATGATACCAACGGATCTTATATTGGATCGCATCTAATTTTTGACTTGGCTTCCTACTCGATGGTTGTTTCGGTCCCTTCGGGACTGAGATATTTTTTTGATTACTTGTTTTACAATAGACTTGCACGTTTCAGCCCACTAGCGGGTTTTAGGTTACCGGATCCGGGTGTATACCGATACCGCTCCTTTTAGTGTTGATTATGTTTGTGATAGTTTGTGATTTCGCCGCCCACACCTGAGATACATATGTTCCGTGCTTGGTTTGTATGTACACCACGGCGATTTTGCTGCAGCAAATTCTAGTCTGAGTGCATGAATGATGATCGCTATTTTTACCTTTTTTCCCAAGTCAGTAAGAGTTGAGATTCATAGACAGATTTAAATCAAGTTCTAACAAACATTTTTGCTGCACTTCTACTTAATCGCGTCTTCTCCGACTCTTTTTTTATAACGTCGTAACTTTCACTCAGATCTAGCTACAGGGAATTGGTTTTTACTTCACGGTATATGCTGTTGATGTTACACTGGGTCTTTCCACATCCACACTCCATGTCGAAAGAATACAATATTATCCCCCACTCCGTATCCTGGATCCACCAGCGACTTCGTGAGGAATTCAGACTTTCCGGAGACGGCAGTATCCACTTCTTTCGGTTTTCTACCTACGGATCCTATTCACTTCATTTGATGCCCATACCTTTCACTCCACTTTCATTTAAACTTTGTTGTTGTGCAGTTTGCCTTCGTTTTCCCTCATTTCAGCTGAACTTAACTCTTCATTTCCGCTAGTCACTAATTTTCTGTCAGAATGCTCCATTACTTTTATCATAACTATTGTTTTTTATTTTTATTTCCTCACTCCAGAACGGTATGGTCGATCTGGAAAGTGTTTTCATTGCGCTCGTTTGCGCCACCATTTATGTGAATTCCATCTTCTGTGGTTTTGTCTTTGACGATGCTTCCGCAGTCAAGGAGAATAAAGATCTACGACCGTCCACACCTTTAAGTGAACTTTTCCGAAATGACTTTTGGGGCACACCAATGCATCAAGTTCGTAGGATTTTATCTTAACTTCTACCCTGTTAACAGGAAAGGAGCCACAAATCTTACAGACCATTAACTGTTTTAACTTTTCGCTGGAACTATTTAGTACACGGACTCCACCCTGCCGGTTACCACGCTGTGAATGTCATCCTGCATTTACTGGTCTGCATTCTATTCCTAAGGTGAGTCTTTTCACACGCTTATTCTATTTTAACTTAAGAGTCTGTCGTATTCTGTCGTCCGAGTGTTGCGCATTTATCAGCAGCTTGCATTTTGCAGTTCACCCTATTCATACTGAAGCGGTACGTTTTTTCAGTTTCCAAGCAAGTTACATAGGTTACGGGTGTTGTTGGAAGAGCTGAACTTCTATCTGGTCTCATTTTTCTACTCATCTTTATACAAAACGAAAAATCACGTCACGAGAGATGCCTTCATCGTAAGTGATCTGTTCATGATGCGCATTTCATGCTGGTCATCGCATGGCGTTTTTTACGGTTCCAATTAGGTTTTCTCTGTATATCCGCGGTTTGGACTCGCAGTCCGCTATCATTCAGTTTAGTTCCATTAAACTAAATACTGTTTATCGATCCACGTCGTTAACCTTAATTCCTTAGAGACACAACCAGATCCGTTATCTTCTGGTAAATGTCGTCTACTTCTCTCTCATTGGGTCTATTGTAAACGGATTTCACTTCGATTTGTCCCCACAAATTCTTAATAAACAGGTATAGTCATATTGTCATTCACTGCACACGGGTTGGTTGCTTGTTTCCGAGTCGTTCATATCGTTAATGTCGCGGGAACTCAAAACTATTTCCACTCTTTCGGTTGTTATTGTTACTGAATTTCTGGTGGCTAGTATTAAGCTAGAGACAAAGGGCGCCTTCACCTACTTTAGTAGTCTGTTTCTGCTCTTGGTGATATCATGTGCAGTCAGTGACGAATCAAATCATTCTACCATTTCGACGGGCTTGGCTCTGATGCTACTGAGGGAATCAACTATTCGGACGTTACACATCCACTATGACTTGGAGCCCTCGATCCTCCTCGGATTAGCATGGTTCAACGTCCACACTTTCTAGCGGATCTGTCAACAGGCAGCAATTGCCCAAACATTCAAGCCCATCTCGATCGTTATCTGCTACTTTTCGGAACCCCCCGCAAGACTCGAGTTTTGAGCTCGCTTTGCGATGCCCTTCAGGTAACACCAGTAGTGCTTTCCTGTTGCGCCTATCCGGAGACGATGCAGCTTCGAGTACCGGCCAAGCCGGTGTTGGTATTGCCTGATTCCCCGGACTGAAGCTGCTCTGATTGATTGGATGGCAATCAGTAGCCGCATGTGTGCAGTGCGATTGGTTGGCCCATTCAAAGCTTCGAAGTCGCGCATGACTAATAGGTGTCTATTCGTCATCGCTGCCTACGCGCCCACAAACTGTAGTGATGATCCGGTAGAAGAATACTTCTCTAGCCAACCGAACGAGCTCCTTCGCCACACGGTGTAGGCTGCCGTAATGATAACGATGAGCGGTTACTTCATTTGTGTGAAAATGCTCGTTTATTTCTTATGACCAGTAACTTCTGACACGGCACCAGCCGTCCACCAGCGTTGGATGCAGATCGATCACATTCCGATCAGTTAACGCTTGTGACGCTGCGTCTGAAACTGTCGCTCGATTTGGAGCACTTGTATGGACACTGACCATTCACTTGTATCTACTGATCTGTGGGTGCGTCCTACCGGCCGTTCTCGACGACCCTGTGAGCGCATAGAAATCATCCAAATCGGGAAGCCAGATGTTCTGTATGCGTATCAAAGTGAGCTGGCATTCGGGTTGGATCAGCGCTTAATGAATACAATAGAAGGTCACTGGTCGGATGTTCCCCAGACCTTACTAGCAGCTAGCAAATCCTTATGTGATAAGTCTAATAGCCAACATAGACATTGGGTCGCTTTGCGGTCTCTGAAACTTATCGATGTTCGCCGGCATGTTTCGGCTGGAAGGGAACACCATGAGACTCGCAAAGACATCAGGACAAAGCTCCGTGCTAGCCTGAAGAGAGACCACGCGTCTTGGTGATCTCATCGCGTCTGAGATGGAAGTGGCCGCTGCTCTTGCTAACCACCAGAAGTTATTCCGTTTGATAGGGGGAACGGGCAACAGGAGACCTGGTGCTAGTGAATCTCTGTGTAACGTGAGTAGACAGCCTATGCACAACTCCTCAAAATGCTTGGAGCCTTGGGCTGATCATTCTGAAGGGCAATTTAATCCGTCGGAATTGTCAGGTTTCTCGTCAGCCACTGATCTTTTTGATCCGTGGGCTGTCCTCTTGGATCCGCCCTCTCACTCAGAAGTCGAACATAAGATCGGACTGCTGAGGTTGAATAAAGCCGTGGGACCAGGTGATCTTTCTCCAGCTCTCTTCAAATTCGGGCCACCTGCTCTTGTTGCTGATTTACACGGATTACCGGTGAAACTGTGTGCAGAAGACTGTCCCGACAGATTGGAGCCACTCCGTTGTAGTGCCAGTTTTCAAGAGAGGCTCACGATCGGAATGTCGCAACCATAGTGGAATCAATCTGATCTTTATCGTTTCCAAATTGCTTGCCCCTGTCATCATTCACGGAGTTAGACACTCATAAAAGCCATATTCGTGAAGAGCAAGTCGATTTTCGTCGAAGTCGGGGCTGCATCGACTACGTCTTTACTTTGCATCTGTTGTTTTAGCACCGTGACACCTCTTTGCGGCTCACCATTGTCTTGTTTCCTCGACATCAAAGGTACCTTCGATTCGGTTGATCGATGTGCTCTTTGTGACGGCCTACTCAGGAAAGATGTACCCGAGAAATATATATATATATATATATATATATATATATATATTCGTTATATATATTCGTTATTCGCGCCTAGCTCGGACAGAGTGAGGATTTATGGCAAACTGTCGCTGCTCTTCAATATCTCCATTAGTGTGAGACTAGGATGTCTGTTGTTATCTATTCTCTTCAACTTCTCTATTGACAGCCATTATATCGCACTCACTGAACAGAACTTAGAAGGTGCGGAGCTGCTCCCAGGCGAACGACATTTTGACTTGCAGTATACAGGCGATATTGCCCTCATCTGTAACAGCTCCAAGACGTGCCAAACTTCACTGGACAGATTAGCGCTGGCTGCCATTCGTTCCGGGCTTTGCTTTGCACCCTCGAAGTGCAAAGCTTTCCTCCAAGATTGGCAGGAACCGCCTTCTGCACTAACCCTTGGTGGCGATCAGCTAAAAGTCGTTCAGAAATTCAACTTCCTGGGTGGTTGTTTCAGCTCTCTTGAGATCGAAGGCGTTCCGCGACGTGGCGTCCCCCTTCGCCAACACAACGGTGGTCTCAAATTGATCACATTGCAATTAGCTTTAGATGACGTGACAACATACTGGACTGCAGGTTCTTTTGGTCCACTTTCCTTGGCTCGGATCATGCACTGGTCTGCGCGTAAATCTGTGTTTTGGGGGGTCCCGAAACACGAAGCACCGCAAGATTGACGTAAACGGATTAACTGATTCCTCTGTCCAGGCGTGCTATCAGTCTTCACTGGCATACGCACTCAGTTGCAATCCACTGTAAGACGCGGAGCAATACTGAACTTGTATACGAAAAGCGATGATCATTTTCGGACAGTCAAGTTGCGACCTAACTCGACGCCCCTTGAAGTCTTGGATCTGCTCGTTCTCTGGAGCTGTTCGAATGCCGCAAAGATATTTCAGCGGAATCAAATTGCAACGAACGGCACCGGCTGCTCAAGCAAAGCCTACGCAAGAATCGCGAGGTATGGTGGTCTGAGCGTCCTTTAGAGATGGAGACTGCTACCCTCTCTGGCAACACTCACAAGCTTTTCCAACTCATTCGGTCCACGGACCTCAGGAAGTCTTGGGTCAGTGAGGTTATTTGCGACATAGATGAGTCTCTGATCACCAACCAACAGAGGCGTATAGACCGCTGGGCCGAGCACTTTCATTCGCAGTTCAACTGGCCTCCACGGTCCATCAATACACGCAGAACACCTAGTTTTCCACCATGGCTTGTCCCACTGATACCACCCAACGAATCGGAAGTCTGCTTCGAGATTCAACGCTTGAGGCGGTTCAAGCCTGTCGGCTCAGACGGACTTCTTCCTTAGCTGTTCAAGTATGGCGGCGTGGTGATCATTGACCAGCTGACCTCGCTGTTCGCAAAAATCCGACATGGAGAGACATTGCCTTCCCATTGGAGTGAATCAGTTATTGTCCCGATTTTCAAGAAAGGCGCTCGCACTTCATGTGCCAATCATCGCGGGATTAGTCTTATTTCGGTTGCTTCTAAGCTATTGGCATCCATTCTGCTTTGCAGACATTCTCCAGTACGTGAATCATACTACCGTGGAGAACAAGCTGGTTTCCGTCCCTGCCGCAGGTGCGTGGATCAAATCTACACGCTCCGCCAGCTCCTCGAACATCGCATCATTTATCACAGGCTCACTATCGTTGCATTCCTAGACATACATGCCGCTTTTGACTCCGTTGATCGACCTGCTTTATGGCATTGATTACTAAAGAACGGGGTGCCAGATAAATATACCGCCATCTTACGGGCACTTTACCTTTATACATCCTGCAGAGTGAGGGTCTATGGCAAGCTTTCCTCGCAATTCGCTGTCAATAGCGGTGTGCGACAGGGCAGCCCGATGTCCCCATTCCTCTTCAACTTCGCAATCGAAGACGTTCTGTCAAATGCTCTAGAAGGTTTCCAACATTTTGGCCTAGAGCTTCTACCGGGTGAGCACGCGACCGACTTAAATTATGCTGATGATATCGCCTGACTTGGTGACGATTCACAGGGTATGCAATTCATTCTGAATCGTTTGGTGGTTGAAGCATCTAAGTATGGCATGAGCTTCGCCCCATCGAAATGTAAAGCACTGCTCAAGGATTGGCTTTCACCTGCTCCCGTGCTCACTCTCGAAGGTGCACAATGTGGACAGGTACATAGTTTCGTCTACCTTGGGAGCTGTGTTTCTGCTGACGGCACTATCAGCAAAGAATTTTATCTCCGTGTCGCTAAAGTCCGATCAGCAGTTGTCAATTTGAGGCACTTGTGGCGTCGTCGCGACATCTCATTCTCGCTAAAGGTTCACGTTGACAGCGCATCTGTTCGCTCAGTTTTATTGTATGGGAGCGAGTCCTGGCCGATTTGCTTGGAAGACATGTATCGTCTTTCTGCCTTCCATAACGGTTGCTTAAGGAGGATTGCTCGTGTTTAGTGGCGACATCGAGTTAACAGTAATGACATTCGACGTCGCATCTTGGGAAATGCGAGTATTCCCTTCAACAAACTGGTTTTACTGCGCCAGTTGAGATGGCTCGGTCACGTCTTACGCATGGCACCTGAGCCTCTACCGCGTCGCGCTTTACTCGCTCGTCAAGGACCTGGCTGGAGGCGGTCGCATGGTGGTCAGCCTTCCACTTGGCGACAACACGTGAGATCGCTGACGTCGTGTCTAGCCGCTGTTGGATCCGTACGCCCTCCAGGACAGGGACCCAAAGATGAGGAGTGCCAATGGCTTAACGCTCCTAAAGACATGGGCCGCAACCGGGATCGTTGGAAGAACTGTGTGCGGAATTGTATTGATTCACACGTTTACTATAAACATGTTTAATATTAAAAATGACAAAAGATAGAGAAAAGTTGGCGCATGAAAAACGATCTAAAATGGTTTTGTTTTACTTTTTGTTACAATATTCCTTTCTTCTTGCGACGTAGTAGCTGAAGTGTGTTGCTCACCTTCAGCTACCATTTCACGATGATTATGACGCAATGACTCTCTCTTATACTCTGATCTCCATGGTTTTTGTTGGCTTCATGTCTAGTTGCTAAACTGTTGTGATTACATGCCTCCAAACATTTTGTATCACCTGGCACCGAACCTCGCAGTCACCACACCATTTTCCCCACCGCTCTTGACTATCGGGTAATAGTTGAACCCACACTTCCTCCCCTACTGATGACGCGCTTAATAGTTTCGAATGCGGTTTCCTGTTCTTTTCCTTAACTCCACTTTACTGCTTTGTGACTTAACTTCTTGATCGGTGTCGTGACATCAGCGAGTCTTGGCGTAAAACGGCTCAAGTAATTCACCATACCGTCTAAGCGATGGATTCCTTTTACTTCGTTAGGGAGTGGTTTCTCTCTAATTGCCCTAATTTTTACTGCATCGACCCTGACCCTTTGGGTTGTTAGCAAATGCCCATGGAAAATCACCTCGTCTTTCCGAATTTCAATTTCCTCACATTTTAGCTTGATTTTCTTTTCACACAACGTTGCAAGGAACTGTGGAGATTAGCGTCATGCTCTTTTTCTATCGAGCCATAGATCTAAACATCGTCTGCCACGCATGTTACACCATATAAATCGTCTACCGCTTGCACCAATTACTTTTGCAAAATTTCTTTCGATGCTTTCGGACCAAACGGTAAACACAGCCAACAATAACGTCCGAATGGTGTGGTAAAGATAGTAAGAAAGCTGGATTCTTCATCTAGAACAACGTGCCAGAATGTCGAAGAGAGGTCTACCTTCCTGAAACGGAGCTTTGTCCAAACGCGGCAAAATGTCTTCTAGGGTAGGTATCACATAATACTCTCTGCGCAACGCCTCATTTAACGGTTTCTGGTCACTACATACACGTAGTTTTCCCGTGTTCCTCCTAATGATTGCGACCAGACTAACCTAGTCGGTCAGCTCGTTGACTTTGGCAATCACACCCTCTCTCAGTAATTTGCTCACTTCAGCGGAGGATCTGTTACACAGCGCAAATACAACTCTCCCAGCCAGTAACGCATTCGGTCATATCAAAGGATCTTAGGACAAGTGAGCGGTTCCATCAAACTTTCCCAAACCCGGGCTAAACACAGACGGATACTGTTCACTAATATTTATTTCTCCCTGACATGCATGTACGCAACGATCATGATCAAACCAATGCCGAGAATCGGCGTGCCCTCCTCCTCCACGATCACAAACTTCAGCCGATGTGAGACTCCGTCTCTTGGGTTAACCACTTCGATTATAGCTGAGCCTTTCGCATGAAGTCTGGAACCATTCCACATGCTCAGACAATCTCGATCGGATCGAATGCACACTTCGAGATAGTACTTCCTTAGTAGAATGTTGACAGTAATTTCCATGTCTAACTAGAATCGTACGCTTTTTCGTTCGATCAAAAGATTTGCGTAGACACCTTTTGCGGCATCCTCCGAGACACGTTGCTACTTGAATGTCCTGCATCTGCGCGTGACTTGTCACAAACGAACACATTCGCATTGATTGATCGGCAGCAGTGAACAAAGTAGTTCCTTTTTCCACATTTGGCGCATCTCCTACCCCATGCCGGACACTCCTCGCGGGAGGTCGGGTGTCGAGCGGCGCAAAATTTGCAGATCTCCTGTCTCACAATAGTAGCCTTCGGTGCGTCGCATCCGGAAACGACACACAATTCCGCATCAATTGCGAGTTTCATTTGCCGGCACTGATAAGTGGTAGAGGACTTACTGTTACAGATATCAATGCACTGCTGGATTAATAAGTCGCGTTGTCGCAAAAGCCGCCTTGTCGTACTTTCATCATTGATTCCTAGACTGTCGCTCATGCATGTGTAGAATCGGTCCAAGATCTTCAACTCAGTGATGTACGAATTCGTCTGAGCCTTTATTGCGCGAAAAGAAAATAGAGCTGGTAAGTCTAGTTCGTTTGGCCTTCGCAAGATTTACGGAAATTTTCAATGACCGTCATCCCCGACTGCGTGTCGAAACATAACCAAGCGATACGCCATCGGTTACTCCTCCAAACGTACTAAGATGCAGAAATCCATCCACTTGCCCCTTTTTACTCGCCAAATTCCGTTCATCCATGTTCAATGGGCCAGGCATCGGAATAGACGCTGGTGATCCAAACAGCATCGGAGCGTCGCCGGTGGGGTTCGTCTTTGTCCTCTCTGACATGTTGCGGACCCCAGTGCTTCAGAGACAAACGTTTACTCAACATAGTCAAGTCGATGAAGATTACAGCATGTTCGCAAGCCAAACCCCTCGATATAACTTGCACCTTCAACTCCATAACTAACGACCCTTCTGAGTCGATAAGGTTCCTCCTTTGCTTCAGTTAAACAAACTGTGAATCACTCACACGAATATCGGTCAGTCCGAGTTCAGTAATGGAATCCGTAACGCCCGCTTCCCATTGGCTGTCTACCTCTCTCGATTGGCCCATTCGGTTACTCTCATCTGGCACCCATCACAGTTTATTGTGTACGTCTGCACAACAGACACTGATGTCTATCAATCTTTATCCGACAATGCTTCCATCGATGTTGCAGTTCGCGATTTCATTTGTTGTTTGATTGGATCATGTTGTTCGATTATCGTTAAACCGCATTTATCGGCTTCTAATTTTAGCGACGAGATCATTGCTTAGCTTTCGGTCCTCACATGTGTGAACTCCACAGGTAAGGCGACATTGATAGTCGGGAACACCATACAGTTACTCGATGAGTAAATCACTTTCAACTTTTCATTCTTTTCTACCTGCAGCTTCACTATTTCCCACGTAAGCAGTAAACGTTCCTCTATTTTGCTCTCCTTTTTGTTTGGATATTGTTAATTTTTGTTTTTTTCCGTTAACATAAGGTGTCGTTTGGCTGATGCTTGACGCACTGGACTAACCCCTGATTTCTGGAACATTTTTTCTCTTTTAGAATCAATCAGTGTGTTCATCATCTGTGTGTTGCTCACTATCGGAACGCTATGCAAAGAACAATGTATCACTATTGTTGCTGTTCTTTGGGCATATGAATTTATCCTGATATATAAGGTTCGTCAAAAGGATTATTTCAATTCTCCGCATTATTAGTCCCTTTTGCAGCTCCGTATTGACGACGACACATCAGCCACTGCCCCCATGAGTTGTTTGCGGAGATTGTTCTGCCGATCACCAATGCATTTATTGGAGATGTTTTGGAAATACTTTTTCAAAAACCAACGGTTCTTGCATCTTTTTGTCATCTCTCTCTGGGCCGCTGTTTTAATGTTTGTTCGGATGCGCATAATGGATTTCCAGCTACCCCATTTTTCTGAGTGAGTGGATCCTTCTATGGTGTTTGTGCTTCCCATAAACAAACCATATGCAAGATTTTGCATAATTTTGAGCTATCGTCACCCGCTTTGATGTCATCCGCGTATGTTACGTTACATAGCTTGATGAGCCAAGCCACACCCACACTTTGGTGATACCTTCATGTCTCCTATGCCAATGCATATTTATCGCTGGATCATTTTAGTTCGGTTGACCAACTATGTTCCGGGCACCAAAGTGCGACGGCCGGCGTCGACAAGTGTGGATAATGAGGTGGGACACAAATAAAAGTCAAAGAAACGAGGGTTAGCAAAATAGTGAATAAGGCTGATCAGGATAGAATATGAACAGTTAACTACATGAAAGCAAACCGAAGAGCTCCGCTGTATCCGTAACGGTTTCATGTCAAATAAGGTCTCCAACCAATGAAGTGGTTCATCTCCAGGCTCGTTTTAAGTCTCACTCACCAACTGGCCTCCTCGCGCTTTCACTCAGTTTAGCGCAGCAACAACAACAAAGTTGGGAGAAAACTGCATCTCTGTGTGGTTCCTCTACCCTTTGCGGCGTTCGAAGCTAATTAGCTGCTAATTTTAACGAGTTCTGTTTCAGATCCACTGCAAATTAATGGCGCTTTTCAACAAGCGATCAGAACGACGTTCTTAATGTCGGGCTCACACGACATGAACGCACTTTGCGCATTCGTTCGGTGCTTCTCGGTTGATTCAAGCAACATGCACGTGCAGGCACACATGGCAATGATATGACACTTAGTTGCATAGTCTGCAACTACCTGACTTCACCCGTCCATGTTGGCTTAGCATGACTCCATGTGTTCTTACAGTACGTGAACGCCGATGAAGTTGGATCAAAGCACTTCATAAGCTACTTATATTATAGTAATAATAATAACAATACGTATATTTCCTGATTTTGCAAGAAGCTCTCTCTGGGTTGTGGACAGATCATGAGTACAATAATGATTATGCTGATGTATGAGTTAGATATGTATTCTGGGGTGCGTGATATCAAAATCTTATGGCATCACATAACTTTTATTGTTGCTGTGTTTCAGTGTACCATCTTTCCTCATTGGTTATTTATTTCTAAGTCCATCCTGGAAGAACTCGTAGGGTTTTACCTGATGGAAACCTGATCATAATCGATTTATGCTCCAAGAAATTACTAAGCTGAATACGGAATGTTCTTGCATTTTTGCAATACCTGGTTGTGGCTATTCCATACGACAGCGTATCTGCCGTAGAAAAAGTTGTACCGCATAGCTGTCCTGGTTCTTGGCGCAGTTACTTTACAGGTCTGGTTGCCTATATTCCGAGTGGTCTACACGTTTGCTTTGCAACCATAAAGTCACCGGTTCGAATCCGCGTAGGGGTGGGCGTCCTCGCGGTATACTCAGCCCGCGCGCGACTGGTGGTGGTCGCGCGGCAGCGAAGCGCCGTTACGGCGTTCAGCTGACACATTATTATTAGTGTGCACAGATTAGAGTATGTCTTTTGGCTTATGAGATTGTGTATCAGCATCACGTTATGTTTCAGTCATCGCAACCTAAAGGACTCGAGCTTAAGCTACTGCCAGCACTACTGATCACTCAAGGTGGTTGATTTACTGAAAAATCGCTGTCACTGATCTTTGCAGGTTTTCCAAAGTTTTCCCACGCGCATGTTCCCATAAATGATGCCACAGTATTAAGCACAGGAAGTGTGAGTATTTTGAAAAGCTTGACTCTGGCACGGGTTGTGTGGATTTTATGGCAAATGTTAGCCATAGATCCTTTGGCACGTGCTATATGATAGCTTGTTCTGAGGAATTAATTTTTGAAGAGTATCATATGTCTAGATCACCGTTAGATAGTTTGACACTGATTTGATAAAACAAACGGAGGTTACCGCCTCCCGATTCCTAGCAGCTTTAGGAACTTTAACTTTTTAACATGCTTTGGTATTTCATAAATTTCCGAATGTTACATTTTTGGTCCTCCTCATTCCGCACATCGGGCATTGGGAATGGATTCATTTTATTCTGCGGCACCTAAATCATTTGACAATGTACGACCACAGGTGTCTTTTCACCGTATGCGCGACTGGTGATATAGTTCCAAATAAGAACATCAGAAGACGAAGATTGTGGGATGACATCGTCATTTTGTGCATACGGAATCGACAGCGACCACTGTGTGTCCGAAAACAGCTGACAGTGACATTAAGCCTACTGTGGTATCATGCAACGCACCAATCGGAAAACACTTGATCAATAATTAATTTCATGTGTCCTTGTTTTGCATTCCTTTTTAGTTGCTTGTAATGTGGTTGACGAGTATGCACAAACTGACAATGTCATCTCACAATCTTCGTCTTCTGATATTCTTATTTGGTGATATAGTGACCAAATGACTTCTTCTTTGGTTGTTTTCATTCCGTACTTGGCACGCAAACTAGACTACCTCTTTATTTACATTGCGCTATCTTCATAATTTTGTCCCAACTTAGTATCCAGAATTAACAGTATGCGTCAAGTTTCAGTGAATAGGTGTAGCACGTTTCTCAGCGTTTGCCTCATTGCTTCCGTTGTTTCTTCCTTTTTGGATCCCCTAATATGTCTATTTGCGCTCAATGCAATCGCCTACCTCATTGAATCATGTCTGTGACTTTATCACCTGAAGGAGCTTTTATAGCAAAAGCGAAGCATCGTACGCCCGACAAATATATTGACAGGTTACTCACCAAACCTTCTGAAGTGATGACTTCCCGATGGGTTCCAGGTATATTCAATGATTATTTTATTTCACGTTTACCCATTTCACTGGGCCTGACTGTTTTTTTTTAAAACTTTTCATCCAAATGACCCGTACAACAAGTGATACGTTTTACCTCTATTTACACCTCACACAGATTTGACAATCCCGCAGCACATGCACCTACATTAATTCGCCGGCTCACATATTTATATCTAATCCCCGTAAACCTGTGGTTACTGTTTTGTCCATCCGGGTTGTGCGTCGATTGGACTTTGAGCAGTTTACCGCTTATCACTGGTTGGATGGATCCTAGGAATTGCTTAACGCTGGTCGCCTTCCTTGGACTTGCATTGCTTTTCGTGATGGCACTCAATCCGAACAGTTCAAGAGAACAATCTGTTATACTAGCTATGGTGAGTATATGATCTTTTGCCTTAGTATTTGCATTTTCGCAAACATTCCTCCTACAACGTTTGTGTAGTCGCTCACCTTCGTAGGTGTGCTAGAAGACCACTTTTGTCCTGACATCTTTTTGCAATGATTCGGAATACCTGTAGCTCGGGTTGGTAGTTAACGTTTTGATTCGTTCTCCGAGCTGAGTAATTTAATGTCAAACGTTTCACCACTTCCCTCAGTGGCATCTTCAGTGTACAGCTCCGTAGAGAAAAATATCACGGAAAGTGTCGTTGGGACGTAGCGTTTGAAATTAGCCTCGTCGATCTGTGTCCCGTGACCTCTGTTTGTTCGATACTTGGCCGTCCAGTTTCACGCTTTCTCAGCTGTAGGTACACGGGATCGAGGTCAATGTGGAGTTCAGGGAATTCTCCGTAGAGAACCATGCCTCGAGGAATTCCCTTCCTTTTCTTGTCCCTCCGTGCGCCAGAACTTCTGTTTTGTCCCAGTTAACATTGTGTCCTTCCTCATCTAGGTGCGCTGAGATCTGTGACGATACATGATGATATCGACACGCACGCTTGTGCTCTTTTATTCTTGTGGAGAACGAATCAAAACGTTGACGTCTTTTTGTTCCTGCTCCCTTACATTAACGCTATGATGTTCGGAGTTCTTAAGAATCGCCGTCTCTCTTTCTTCACGTGAAATGCTACGGTCCAATTGATCATACACGACAAAACGCTTAGTATTTGAAAGACTCGTAGAGTACCGTGAAATCAATTTCAGGACTGAACGCAGACTACCGGAGACGAATCCACAAAACCCGGAGCTGGGCAACGATCGCCGAAATAATTCAATAGTTAAACCCGTGGAAACTACGGTGTTTTTGAAGTAAACAGTAGCATATCAAATAACTAACAAACCTCAAAGATTTGTTTTACAACAAAAGGGTGGGAACAATTTTTGAAACGAGCAAAGTGGGTCAGCTGCAGGTCATCCGAGATTGGTCACGCAATCACACACAGGAACCCAATGTAGTGAATGTCAGCAACATGTGGGCCGGCCTCATGGAGAAACGGGGATTGGCGAATCAATCAACATCGCACAACTGAGTGATTGTACAGGTTCTTCGAGGAAGGGCACACACGCAGTCTGAGGGACCAATCCAATGAAATTGCGGGCTGAACAGGTCACGGGTTGTGAGGAGAGAACCATAGAGAACACCAAACATGCGAAAAGAACGTGTCATCGGTAACCATCGACACAACTGTTAAATCAGTGGGAACAGAGAATTCGGGCAGGTGGCAGTGTTGACAAACCGCTTTGTTTGCATTGGTACAATAAGCCAAGAAGCGTTGATCAATTTATCCTATACACGTTTGGCCTAGTTACATTTTTCGGTAATACTGTATGACTGCGTTGCCGGAATTCTTTGATTTCACTCACTTGGCGCACTTGTATCTACTTCCTTTTCCGGCACCTATCTCCAGCACAGCTGTGATGTTCCTGTCGTTGGGGCAAAAGAATGACCTCTAAGCTTGCTTCTTCCACCCCAAAAATTGTGCAACACGGATGCGTGTGCGTTTTACCAGAACAAAACATTCCGTTCCAGTCAATTTCGACACGTCTTCCCAGCTAGCCATATGTGAACAGTTTTCGATTTTTTCGACTAACATATGATTGTTGTCCTGTGTGTGATAGCACTATCATGATCATACGTATACAGGTGTACCTCGCATTGTCTAGAATGAGCTACTTATTTTTTATTGTGCGACGGTCTACACTCCTCAGCGATCCGTTAAGCTACGTCGAGTGGCACCTTGTGTCTTCAGAACTACTCATACTCTCTAAGTTAGGGGTTAGAAGTCGAACACTTTATCCATGGATGGTAACAGTCTACCGGTTACATTCTTAGCGTAACGCATGGATGCGACAAATAGTCTAACGGTGGGAGTATGCTTCTCTTATGTCAATCGTTCACTGGTCAGTAAGGTGGGACTCCGCCCAGTCCCAACTGCCGATGGTCATGATCGCGGGTCGAGAATACTATGAGTCATTCTGATTCTTCAGATCCTATGTGTGATAACGCTCGGGCACACGCCACTGTGTCCATGCAATCACACTACATGGCTTAATCTACCCTTCACTGTCTTGTGCTTCAATCTGTCTAGTCAAAGGCTTCGGATGGCCTCGCTCAAAACCACTGCTTTTTTCGTCTCGCTGTTAAGTCAACAGCGAGAACTAGACTACCTCAAATATAAACCTTTTCCTGGAATGACCCCTTCGGCAATACTCTTTCTCCTCACTCTCCCCTTTACCACTCTCTTCTCCAGGTAACAAGTGAGAGATCGCAGCTGACTTTGCTGCCGACATCCGCGATATATTCGCCTGTCCCTTCAGATCAAAGATCTTATTTCATACTTTCTCCGTCATCGTCCGCATTCTAGGTCAGGCCGGTCAACTGGCGGCTCTAACTTTACTTTTCACTGTCGTTTAACTGAAGTTTACTGCTTCCGAACCACACAAGCATACCTACTCCCAATCTATCTCCAATGCTTATACTGGTGGTACCGAGTTAATGTTTCAGAGCATATATGGTCTACGTATTGATCTTGGTAGACACACTGAAGGCAATCTACTCGACTTGATACTGTTGGACAGCCGCATGTGTGCGTTTGCGTTTGGGGCCTACATAGGGTCTAACACACACCGTTTGAAAGCATGTTGACTTCTTCGTTTCACTGCATATCATCACCGACTGCACCTCGGGCTATCGAAATGACTTCTATCGTTAGCTCCCATTTCCCAACTGTTTACAAAAAATACGGTTCTCTTGATCGTTGTTGTCAACATCAGTGTCCAAGTGGGTCACCTATCGTACTCCGAACGGTATATTAGAAGCCTTTCTATGAGCGATGCAGATAGAACCGATTACGACTATCAATTTTCTTGACTGTATTGACTACAACGTTTATCTTAGCAACACTGCCTTCGAGCATAAGCACTACTGTGGTGCTACCTGGCACCCACGGTGCTCCACGATACTCTGGGTCCAGATGGACCATATTATCACTAGATACAGATGGCGCACTTACTTTAAGACTGTCAGTCAATCTGGCATGTGTGCCAAGACTTCAATCTTGCGCTAATGCGCACACGCATGGCGCTCACTCTTTCGGTTTCAAAGAGGTGCCCAATTTCTGGGTTTATCTTCTGTCGCCTGGACTAACGGTTCTCAAATCAGCAATATCATGTGCGACTGGCCCACCAGTTGTTACTACTAAGCGGGGTGCATGAACCGAATACCGACAGAATCGTCCAAAATCTATCATGAAAATGCTTTCGAACCTCTTGCAAGTCCATATTAAAAGATTCAAACTGTAAATGGATTTCTTACTCGTCCATTGCTTTGCTGTAATAGGTTGAATTGGTTCCGTCGAGTACTTATCTTCATCGTGTCGTTGACACCCTGAATCGGTGACTGACAAAAAGTTTTGGGATTGAGCGGGAGCGTTAGTTGATAAAGCCATTGCGATGGCGAAAGTCAGCGCTCTTGATGTCAGACGAATATTGTCCCAACGCGTCTAAAGCATGTGTCCAAGAAAATATTCACTTTGGAAGAAATCCGTGCCTTATCTGCTTCTGTGTCATGATACAGCGGAACACCATGCTTTTGACCCACTGTCAAGTTTACGACGCAGCAATAAGGCTGGCGGTTCTGTTTGGATCAGAGAATTAACCACTTTATACTAAAGATATTGTGGGGTTGCTTGTCTTTAATTGCCGGTTTTTGCTGAGTACCAGGCACACAACACCTATATCTCCCAATTGGGACCTGAAAAGAGACGCCCTGTTTCCTCGGTGGCATGGCTGTTAAACCCATACTGCTTGTTTTGGTTAGGGCCTTATCTCCGGAAAGCCATTGACCACCTACTTCGACTAGGTCATATGGTATCGCTGCACGTAATTGGGCGACAGCTTAAATGTGTGAAGAAATTGACCAAAAGGCCTTCATAGGATGGTATATGTCATCCTCGTAGATGAGGGTCGTTGGAGGCGTTGCTGAATCCATGACGCTTTTGCATGACATTTCTTACATCGAGCTATCATCTCTCTATCACGATTTATTCTACTCAGCCTTTTCTGTCCCGACTTCCACTTTGCGCTCAAATTCCTTTTCCCTATCATTAGTAGTTATTGCTGTTCTGTGACGCGGCTTGTAACAGTTAGATCCAGTGGAGCTGAACTGAATATTACTGTTCCCATTTTTTTAGAACACTAATAAATATGGTTCTACTTTCATTGCGTGTGTTCTGTTTTACTGTCCGATCACTTTACCGAATTTGGTTTCTAGGGCTTGAGTATCATGGTCTTCGCATTTATTCCGGCCAGCAATCTGTTCTTCCCCGTCGGTTTCGTGATTGCCGAGCGTGTTCTGTACGTTCCAAGCTTTGGTTTTAGTCTCCTGTTTGGCTTCGGGTATCACGTCTCTGTTAAACGCAGTTTGCTCAACGACAGACGTCCTTATTCTTCGCAGTGAGTTCACCAGCATTTGCATCTTAACGCTATCTGATGTGTGTGCTTATCGGTAGCGTTTACTTGTGCTTGACACCACCTTTTTAGTGGTGTCTCATCCCAACGCTACGTAACCCGTTCGCTTTCGAGTCCCCATTAAGTCCCCTTGCGGTGTTCTTACTCAGTTCACCGGATAATGCATTCAGATCTCCAATGGCTTGTGAAAGACGACCAACTGCATCATTATCTCAATAAGCACTATATCTCTATTTTCTCTGCAGAGTATAAGCATTATATAAGGGTTATTTCCATTTTGCCTCGTTACTCGCCTTGGACCGTTTGGTGCCTGACACTGAATGAAACAAGAAATGTGCTACCATGGCGATGCATACTACCTATTGCTCTTAACTGATAGGAGCACCGGCTAGGTTATTCTACAGCTCAACAGTTAATGTTCGACTGTCTGTTGGACACAGGCGGCCTGAAATGATTCGGTTATGCCATTCGCGTTCCAGATTTCCCTATTATTTGACAATGCCACATGTGTTTGGTTGGAATCCCACCGTTATCAATCGATGGCATGGTAAAACGCTATGAGGAATCTACAGGATGGACCAGTTTATTTGGTTGACACTTGTTATTTCCCTTGATGGAATCCTCGAGATCACTAACATAAGCACTTAGAAATCCCATTTAGCCTAATCGTTCACTCATTGATGCCCTCACATTGTCCTGACGATTTATTTTTCTGCATATTCTTGCCGGGTTATCCTCATGGTTATTTTGATGATGAGAGCAAGGACAACTGGACCAACCTCTGTTCGCTGCCGCTATGCATAACAGATTGATAGATCCGTAGTTAGCCAGTTGCTCAGTTTTGTATTCCAAAATGGAACCTGCATTGTGTGCTTCTGCGAACCGAACGTCCCTGATCTTTCCCTACTTCGTGTTCTCCTGCTCCCTTATTTTCGAAACTCTTAAATGGTTAGACTTTTGGTAGCCCGTTCTTGACCTCGTCTTTTTTTTTGACCCATGGCATCACTAGACCAGTTCGTTTCAGTGCGACACGCTTCTCCTATTTAATACTCTGCTATTTCGATCTCCGGCCTCAACATTCCGAATTTTTTCCCAAACTCGATCGTTCTTTTTAATTGCGGATCAATTGGACACAAATCACTGAAAATGTACGGTTTGGCTGCATACTGTTTCCATAATGGAAAAGTTCCCGAGATATATCTTTCCTCTAGTTTACTTAAACTGCGTTGACAAACACATGCTTGTGGATTTCCAATGCAAATGAGTGGTATTATGACCAAGTATAATCCAATCCATGTTGCGCTTCCTGGAGCAATTGGCTCCCAACCTTGGTTTTTAGATGTTTGCCCACCCTAAAACACAACCTTGTTTGACGTTAACCGCGATCGGATTACTTAATTCATAATCGTAGCCATTCTCACACCCATACTTGATGTGGCATGCGGTGGTTTGTATTGCACTTTATAGACTTATTGTGATCTGGTTTTCCATTTTATCTCAGATTGCAGCCTGTGAGCGTCATAAAACGAAAACCCATACGCCCTTTTGTTTACAAAGCTATTTTGGTTCTCGTCCTGCTCTCACTCAGTGCGAAAACGGTCCGACGTAATTTTGATTGGTCAGTTTTTATTCAGTTATTTGATTCATTGTTGGCAGTTTGAAGCATTTGCTTTCTGCAGTGAAACCATGGGGCTATCTTCGATAATCCTTTGTCTCTTCATAACAAGTCAGGTGTGAAAGCATGAGATATAGTTTCCCAAATCACTTAGTCGTTCGTTCTTTTTGCCTTATCGTTTTCTAAGTTCAGCCATTGTCACCGCCTAAATGTGTCGCACATCGGTGGACGCAAGCTACACCACCCTACATCGAGATACAACGTCACTTCTCATGATGCGCACTGCTCTCATTAGTCAGTGCTCACTCCTTGTTGCTCTGTTTAATACATATTTGACGCCACTTTTTTAATTATTTCCCCGTGCATTCATCCTATTTCCGGGAACCATTGTACCAGTAGGCTTTTATGCATCCCACCGGTAATCTTCATTGGTATTTGGGTCCCATCGCTGACTTAATTTGAATGAATGATAGCAAATGGAGGTTTACACAAATTAATGAACAACTAAGTGGAAGTTTCTCATATCTAGACTCAGTCAGCCATTGCACGCTCGGAGAAGCACTGTACGGCCGTTTCATCTCTTTGTGAATCGTCAGCACTTTATCTTTGGCCCCTTTGGAGCTAGCACCCGCATCTCAACTGTTGCCACAGTGGTGAAAACCACTGGGCTACGCGGGGACGGTAACTACCGTCGTGACTATGTTACTAGATGTGATGTAGCGCCGCTCACTGAGTCTTGTAGCGATGATCTACTGCTTATACTATTCAACTCCCCTACTACTCCTGTCTAGTTAGTACGCAGAGCAAAGCTTCTTATACTGCGATTTTAATTAGCAACTTAAGTTTCTTCGCTTGGTGAGGGGCTGCTCTGTCCTCTACACGGCAGTAACGTGCAAGTTAGTAGGTAGTGAGCAATGGACAACCATTTACCACTAAATGGTCCATTTCGTGGATACAGTGCAAGAACAGGTTTGACACTAGCATCGCCACATCAGGGTAACTAAAACTTTACGCTCGCACACAACGGTTTTATCAACATTAGCCCACATGAGATCCTCTTAGTAGAATATTTATAGGGTAACAGAGGTTATTTCATTTTCTAATTTTTGTAGCACTCGTCAACACTCAATCTCAATCGTCGCCTCGGTTTAGTTTGAAGTCAGCCTCTGCCAATGCGGTCACTGAGACCGTCACCGAAGTGAAGGGTTTCGGTGTGGCTCTTTCCCATACCTGCACTCCATGACCGACGGTTCCTTCTTGGCTTAGACTCATCAGGTCGATATAGCTGAGCTGGGAGTGGAACCTGACGCATAATGCTTGGCGGCTATCGCCATGATCACTAGGCCAATTTTCCGGCTTTATTTTAATCTTCCACCTCTTCGTAAAGGTTTTATCAAGGTCTCAGATGTGCACTTTACATACTGATTTGAATATTTATTGCTAACAATCTTTAACACTTGATTACTTTTACTCTTAACTGTGCGAGGACTACTGTCAATTTTGGCGGTTTAGATGGTTGCTGACAAGTGCCGCTGTGGGAAAGTCTACTGCGGCTAATCGCTTCCGAATTAACGATCACACGCGGCCTACCATGTCAGTTTACTCGTATGCGATGGCATTTATTTGTTACGTTCCGTTACCCTTACTTTTCTCAGGCTTGTCTCGTCCGCACCAAATTCTAACGCTACAAACTGCCATCGTTGGATGCGAAACGTTTTATTTACCCATTGGGCGTTTTTCCTGTTTAACTTTATTTTAAGTATACGATATCAACCTAAACCCTAACAGCTTTTTAGCGCATTTTACTTTTTGTTGAGGTTCCGCCGCTCTGACGCTAGTATTTTTTCTTAACCTTTGTGAGGATCTTTGCTTTACACTATTCAGGTACAGAGAGTTAGTACTCTCTTCAAGAATCGATAGAGACTAGCTTTTAATGACACGATGTCTATACCATTTTTCTAGCTGGTACCATTTTCGCGGAAGCCAGCAAAGCTGGTGCCCGATTCGGTATAGTTTTTGGGAATGACGCTTACCCTCCTTTTTGCTCCGTCTCAGGATTCTATTCTATTCTATTTGACACTGCGACTCATCTCTAGCATCCCGAGGTTGAGCAGTTATCGCCGGACTCTCTTACGCTCTTTGATTTTTCATGCTCACTACTAGATAGGCACATCAGTCACCTAACTTTGCTTTGCTGTATTTTGTTGCGTGTGTTTTATACAATTGTTCGTTCTTGTTCATGCTTCACTGATCGGCTCTGATGAATTGTACACAATGGCTAACGTAGGTTCGTGTTTTAACTCGCAGTATTTCAACCTTGCCATTTGCTGTCTTGCTTCAGCGGCTTACCTGTTGACAGCGAGAGTTATCGGGTCATTTCCTTGTATCATATATTCAGAGCAAGAATCGCTCAATGCTGACAACAACACAGGGGTTCGTTCTCGCTCCTAGCAGCACACTTCAGAATCCACCTCTTTTCTTATCCATAAGACGGTGGCTTATTTACATCCACTTCTCACGAACATCAGCTTTCGTGACATATAAATTCCCGATCCACTGGAAGACTTTGTAGAACAAATTTGATCTCTCTATCACATTATCCGAGGCTTCCTAATTTTCTGCTACCCACACAGAGTTAAATATTTTATTATTTACTCCTGTTTAGTGGGATGCGACACTTGGTTCCCGCTATGAAAAGTGAAAATCTTGCACTTTTTCGGCTTCACTGTGCGCGTTTTGGATTTTTGACAAAAATCTTTGTAAATATTGCTTGCTTTGGCGCCTTTCGCAACTCCTCTTTCTGGTACCGTGATCGATTTTCAGTAGTTTTGTATATTATTGGTGTGGTTTACTCTACTAACTTGCTTGTTATCTCCATTCTCCGCGTTTGGCTTTCTAAACTGTCGTACCCTCTCAACAAGTTCTTGGTTACACTCCACTTTTGAGAATTGTATTTTATTTTCATGTTGTTTTCGGGATTATAGTCCTTTTCCCTCCATTTTTTTTAAATCTTACTCATCTTAACCAGGATAGACGAATACAGGCTGTTTTCGTCGGCATTGAAAGTAAATCCACGAAACGCCAAGATGTGGAATAATGTTGGTCACGCGTTGGAATCTGAACAAAAATTTCATCACGCCCTTGAATACTTCAGGAAAGCCGTTGAGTGAGTTCTGTCCATCCCTGAGTAGGCTTGGTGCGTTTTGCTGTTTAGATGAATGTTGTGTTATGCACCACCGCGGATACACACTTCTACACCACCTGGTACAGCCAGCAATTCATATTATGATGAATATGGTCCCGTTTTACTTCTATAGCACTCGCGAACTGCCACCATATCGTCGTTTCTGTTGCCGCTCATTCCTGCATGTTCGGCGATCAGTCTCACATTGAAAGCGCATTTTCATCCTTGTCACCAGTATCACCTTTTATGATTGCGCACCTCACCACGACCTTGAATGTTCACATCGCGCCACCTGTATGTGGACAACTGAACTAGATCTTCTGGCTGAGTAAATGTCATGGCATACTAATGCTACGGCGGGGTAGTTCGGCAGGATGGCACAGCACGCGATCTTTTGATTCACAACTGAGCGCCGACCAAACACATCCTATTTGTAGTGGTGTACTAAGGGAAGGCTTCACGTTATAATCTCCATCGGTCTCGTAGGTCGTAATACAGAGCCTTCATTATGGTCAAGCATTTCTCTGACATATCTTCTAGAGCCGAACGACGTCGCAAGCAAATGGAATCTACTCGATCCATGTTGGCTTTCATTTAAAGCGAAACATCTGGGATAGGCCGTTCGTATAAGCAATGTAGGTTGAATTTTTGATCACTATGTTCTTTGCCAAAGCGGAGTCCTACTTGTTTTCCATGCTTCAACATTACCTTAAGACGGCATACATGGGGGATTTAAAGGCTCTAGCAGTATTGCTAATGCATCGACGCTTCTCACACAATCTGAAAATGAGGACCTAGATTAATACCCTCTTCTATTTACCGGATTGTGTACCCAATAGTTTATAGACTACCGACTTATCTCTACTTTTCAATGACGATCAGGGTCGTCATCCTGTTCGGTCTCTGTGCTTCATCTAGGCAACAGCGGTGCACTTGCGATCTCCTTGGAAGTAGCTGTTGATATGTCAACATTCCAGGAGTTTCAAGCGATGGTAGCAGCACAGAACCGCTCCTCAGATATGCGTCGGCAGGTTAATTATTTATTTTCCTCGACAACCATTTGATTCACTGGTGCCTTCCTTGCGGTCGTACATTGCATGGCTTTGAACATCACTGATGCATTTTTTAGTCCCAGCATCTTTGCCATCTGCCAATGTTCCCATTCGACTTCCATACTGCCATTCAGATAGCGGTATTGTATTATTGCGCCATTCCGGTTGAAGGATGACCTGCGCATGCGCGCAGTTTGCGAAAATCAGGTGCAAAAGCGTTTTAAATGAATAAACTACCGAAACGATAAAAGTAGTCTAAAGGGAAACGCAAATTCACCGGTCATCCCATGAACATGATCTACATTTGTGGTAAACTGTCTGAACAATGAATTGATGCTATGTTAAGCATAATTAATTCAACTTCTTCTTTTATTGAAGTGATGTTTTTTTGAGCTTCTGCCTTTCCTTCGACGTATGCACACCGAAGCAGTTTACTCGTCGCGATCCACCCACATGTAAGCACCGGTAACCCTTTCGTTATTAGACACTGGGGTAGACAAAGTTGGGCTTCCATTGCTCTCTTCTTGGCGTACCCTAGATGATCCAAATCGCCATCTAACTCATTCACCTCAGCAGTGACTAATGTATTATCTTTCACCCCACCTAATCGTGTTTTTGTTCATGCTGCTCTTGTTCATTTCACACCGTTTACTACTCATGATGTATTTGCTTTAGTGTATTTGCTTTTTGTCCGCAGCTTTTTGTCTTTCCGAATTCAATGTTTTTTATGTTTGTGGTTGCAGCGTTGTCCGTTATTAACATTTGCTTATCCGGTTTATCTCTCTGATGATAATAAAGACATCACGATTTTCATTGTCTTTTAGTGTTCAACCAAACGACATCGGTGCACACATCAATGTTGGACGCACTTACGTTACTTTAGGGAAGTTTGATGAAGCTGAAAACGCTTATCGTCGTGCACTTGACTTTTTTCCGAAACCTAAACGAGGTAATACGAGTTGTCTTTCGTGGGACGACCTGGCACCTTTATTCCTGCTTTTTCGGTTTGCCAGATTGTGCCAATTTATTCCCCAAACTTTGGTTCACAGGACAGACGTATTTTGCTCGCGTGGCTCCAAAAGACCTGATGGTCTTCATCAATCTTGCCAACTTACTCCTCAACAAGGACCCACCCCAATTGGATGAAGCTGCTGGTCTCCTTCGGCGCGCTATATCCCTTCGTTCAGATTTCGTCGAGGCCTATCAGAACTACGGGAGCGTTTTGATCAAACAAAATAAGTGGGTATCTTTCGTAGCACTTTTCGCTGTCCGTTTATTTGCTTTCACCACCCAATTTTCCATGGGTTTATTCAAACGTTTTCAATCCTTGCAACCGATTAAATCAGTACGTTGTGGCATTTGCCCATACCACGAACTTAGTGATGTGCAGTCAAATGGAGGATTCACGAAAATGTTTACTCTTCTTTTCTCTGGGTTTTTGCCATCTTCGCAAATAATGGCATGACGACTGATGTGAATTCCGAATTCACGATAGTGAACTCATCTACTGTCAATTAATCAGTAGCTTATTGCTTCTCAGAATGCACTCGCAAAACTTCATCGAGTACTTTGTCCAATTGCGTTCTGAGCTGAATTTTATAGTTTGACAGTTTTCAGATTTAGTTACTTTCTGTTACTCATTATTGCTGTTTAAAATTGTAAACTTATGACATTTCGCGTCTTTTTTATCTTCGTTTTACTATACCATACTTTTACTACGCGCTCGCATTGGTTATTGACTGAACGCTCTGCGGATTGACTGCTGGCTTGTTTCGTGCGAGTCGTTTCACTTGTTAGTAAATTGTATTGTATTGTTAAAACTACGGTTTTAGAACCACGGTTTAACATTACAAATTCTTCTACCCACAGCCCTTAGTTGTACCGCCCTGACCGTGCTTTTGTCTAGGGACTCGGCCCGCTTTCTGACTTCCAATAATGACGACCAATATCGGGGCTAGATGCGGTATCGCGCTTGATCTGTCAATATCTAGTCGCATTTTCGCATCCATTCCATTAATATTTACTCCTATTCTGTCCGGTGATTCCAATTCCTTTTTTGATCCCTTTTCACCAACAGTTTCATCTAACAAACTACTTGGCCTTTTGCTGTTTCTCTTTTACACCATCGATACTGACATGTCCATCAAAATGGCCAGCCCTTTCTATTCACCGAAGACATCAAAACTGTCTGTAAGCTTCGACGTGATGAGCTTCAGTACGCGCTGCTGTTACTTCAAGATGATCTTCATTCCCTTGGGGAATGGTGCAATATGTGCTTGATGCTATTCTCGTCTTACGGATAAAATATTATGTCCTCCGTCTGTTCGATCCCCGAAGAGTCACTGAAACTCAATGTTAAATGTGAATATAGCATTCTATCCGTTATTTTGGAATCCGGTTTTATTCCAATTTCAACTTTTCTTAACCATCACGTATTAGACGATCCGTGGCTCACTCCTCCCATCCTGGAATACTACAACTTTATCAATGGTAGCATGCGGATGATTGACAGGAAATGCATGGAGAATCTGCAGAGGTCATTCACCAAACGTTTGTTCATTGACACATCTATTCTAAACCACCGTGGGCGTTGCGAGCTCCTTCACCTCGACGACGACGTTTGAAGCGTCTACACAATTTGCTGCATCAGAGAACGTACTTCTACCTTCTAATTTAGAGATAAGGTGTATTACTTTTCAAAAACATATGCCAATTGTACTTTAAATCAGGTAGTCCCTTTTTGTGTAGGTTCGTCGCAGTTAGACACAGGCAGTCAGCCACCACACATCCAGCAAAGCGCTAGACGGCCGTTTCGTGCTATTGGGGGCCAGCCCTGTCCTCTACACATCCATAACATGCAAGACAGTGGAGGATGAGCCGCGCTATATCGCAGTTGGATATCAGTCATGGCGGTCCGCTGCCGTCACCCTTGGCTCAGTGACATAATTCTTTGACTCGCAAGAGTAAGTTCGTGGGTTCGAATCCGATGGGATTCGGTTGGTGCGCGCTACTGATGAGTACCAGTAGGACAAAACGGCCGTCTAGCGCTTTCCTGGATGTGTGGTGACTGTCTGCCTATGTCTAGCTACAACGAGACTACACAAAAACCTAATAAATCCCCCTACTACTTACAAATAATCAATCATTCCCTTTTATCTATTTAAACTGTGTTTAGAAGCTGAAACCTGGTAGATGCATACATTTCGTATTGTCACCTCAGTACCATTAACAGTAGCCGGTATGTAACTACGGTTTGACCAAATAAGCAAGCGATGCAATGTGAATGACAGAAGTTCCACCCATTGTCCATGGCAACCTTAAGGTGACCTAATTGTTTTTAGACACACAGAGCCTGCTTCAACCGGTTTATAGCGACAATTTCGGCGATCCGTAGGAAGCGGGAATTGGGTTGACGTAACACACTTGTGGACGCTAATCCTGTGATGCCTGGTGTTTACCTATTGAGGATGCTGGCGCTCTGCGCGAGCACGGAACTTCGGGAGCCTGGGATGTTGGTCTGTTTCATGTTGCACCCATATTTGCACATACTCCTACCTGTTCTGCCTATGTAGCTGGCTCCCCAGTTGCACGCCTATTGGTATACGCAATGTGAGCTGACCCCGATTGGTTGAGCTCCCTTCTTTACAGGTGCTGGCAAGTTATGAGCTCGGTTAATGGCATCATTTTGAGCAGCACTGTACTTTGTACGCATAGCAGAGCTTGGCGTTTGGTGGTCTTTAACACTAAAGTCACCATTAGCTACCGTGTGCACCAAGTCATTCGGACCTTGCTGTTGGCGATCTTTCTCTACTAATCTCCTAGGATAGCCGTTCGCTATGTGTGTTGTCGTGATTAATTCTAGCTCGTCGACCAGACAATCAGCCGAGCAAATCCATCTAGCACAACCAACTGAGGTTTTCCCAAGTGTCCGCTTGTACCGCACTTAGGAGTGCTCTGGAGACATGATATGAGATCATTAGAACCTACAGAAAATTGTACCGTGCGGGACTTCGTATGCTCTAGGCATTACGACACAGTTTCTCCACATATTCCGAAAATACCGTTCCTCGCCTATTTATCTCCCTCATTCGACCAATCCTTGAATATGGTGTCCCAGCATACCATCCGATAACCCAGTAAGAAACTGAAAAGCTGGAGAAACTATAGCATATTGTAATTAGAATCATACCGAGTCTACCAAAGGCTTCCGTATGAAAAACCTTGTGAAAGTCTCAGACTGTACACCTCATCCTACCGCCGAGTAAGAATTGACCTTATTATGATCCATCGAATACTACACCGGAATCACTTCCCCATACTGCGGCCAGTATTTCACCTGCGGGAACCCTGTAATACCCGAGAACACCGTTAGAAACTCAGGATCCCCTGCATGAACAAGGTATCACATCAGCTTTATATAGAACGAAGAATGGTAAGCTGATGGAATACACTACCGGAGGAATTTATAGAGACCGATTCTGTGAAATGTTTTGAACCACATATCTACAATTATTTCGGAAACCTGTGCTTTTGTGAAACGGCGCACATACAATGCCAAAAGAAGACATCGTATACGCGGGACTAATGATACCAATACGAATTCCTAACCGAACAAGGATAAACGATTAACTGACAAAACACTACCACTGACGATTCGCAATTAAATGTTCCTGATTTTTCATAATTCGATGGAGTTGTACAGAACGTTTTCTACTTGCTCTTAAATACAGTATCATTATCAGTATCGTATGAAGCTGGGGAAGTGCGGGTACTGGCGGGACCATGTTGCTTTTCTATGGAAAGACCTGGTAATAAGTCCGTCATCCCAGCGTATGATAAGGACGTCGAAGAATGGCAGGCAGTTCTTCTGTTCCACTACGCAGGTGACCAACAACTTGGCATTTGCGCAGTTCTGCTGCTGCACCAACTGCACAATCTGTTGCTTCGACGAACAAAAGGCCAATATGTCATCCACATTTACGCTAATTGTACGAAGGACTAGAGCAATCATGCGTTCTATCATTTTTTCTCATCAGACACACAGCCGTGTGGAATAGCCTACCGACCACATTCAGCGTACGTGTAATCACTACATCATTCCACACCAAACTCGATATTCTCCTTGTTTTGGAAGTGACATTATTTTTCAAATTCTTGGAAGATATTTGGAACCGGTCGAGTGGTCATGAGTTCAGAGAGTTTTGGAAACAGTCCGTTAGTATAGTAGTTTGGTAACTTTTCGCTCTTGACAAAATTGCACTCCAATTGCACACTGATTCACCTGGTCTGACGAAGCTTTTGTGTCAAGAGCGGAACCTTACCAAACTACCAACCGATAGTTTCCAAACCTCTCATGAACTCACCCGACAAATCACCTGATGAAATGTTCCAGGATGGACTGAACATGCAGACGGTTCTAAACGGCTTCAATACTCGCTCATTCAAGAGCATGTCCCATTTTTGTCGCACGCAAGGGGGTTGCATATTGCAATGTTTCACGAGGAACGTCTGTTTCGCATGCTTGCCACTATGCAACGTGAGTCTATGGTACGATCTCTCAGTTGATGGATCCCATATCAGTCATCAGCGGCTGCACAACCAGGCTAAACCAGTCCCAAACGAAATGGGCAGAGGAGATGACGTTTGATTTACCAACTTTACTTAACACCTGCGGTTCACTTTGCTTGTGATTCAACACATCTACCCGTTGACTTCAATCTCTTCGTGCTTTACCCAACTCTATTGATAGCGAAAACAAGTAGACTGTGGCCTCTGTCAGCTGACTAAATGGATCAGTGTCAAATTCTGAGGATCATCTGACCGGCCAGAATCAGATGAGCAAGCGTGGGACAAACCAAGCAGAACACAAGTCCGTTCGAACCAGTAGTGCAACAGAACGGGCTACTTACAACTGTCCGCCCTTAAGCGTAGCAGGAATTGTGATATTGTTAATTCTGCTTCCAGTTACCATTGCTTTTTCCTTAAGTTAGAAATGTGTCCATCTAAGTCAGTTGCTTGATTTTTACTCTCTTTATTGGGTTTATCCAGTATGCTTCACTCATTAGCGTCTCCCACCTTCCTTAATATTTCACGAAATCGCAGATTCTCACCTAACTGACTTTTCACTGTCTCCCGTGAAAGTGAACTTGAAAACATTTTCAAACGCTTTTTGACGTTGTTTATACTTCTACTCGGCATCTAGCCATATGGATCACAAGCCTGGCTTGTCATCTAAGGGCGCGCGTTCGAAATTGTGTAGGGTTCGGACGACCGTCGCAGTATCCTTAGACCACGTGCGACTGGTGATGGTTGCACGCAGCCTAGTGACAATACTGCTTACCGGCGTATTCCTGAAGCCCATTTTTAGCCTCATGATTGTAAGCAAGCCATGTCATCACAGTGAGGTCCATCCTCATCCTCATTACTGTCTTTGACTTGGCCTCTCCTTCATCTCCATTTGGTTCATACCAACTTCACTAAACTGATTTTGTTCCTGAGTTCACTTGTTCACCAAGCTTCTTAATTGGGATTCAAACGTTTCATTACCAAGCGACGTGAGTTCCTCAGTGCGCTGCTGGGTCAAATGTAATCCGCTGACCTGTTCGTCGATTAGTAATGGATCAGTAAGTGACTTTTGAACTGACCTCCTCGATCTCCGCCCATAATCTTCACCGGTCTGCCCAACTCTGATATACACGGGCGGTCCTTGGGATGGTTTTGCCCCGGCTGTTGCTGATGTGTTTAGCTGACCACGACAGTTTTTTGAAGGGTGTTTTAGTTCCCTCCGTCTTAACGTTTTGGTACACGGGATCAATCTCCATGTGCACCTTCATCGAATGTTGCGTCGAGTACCATGCTTCGAGGAACTCTCTTCCTTTTCGTGTCTCTCCTGCTAGGACGTTTGCGTTGTTCCAATCCAAGCGATGTCCTTCTTCGCCCGTATGTATTGGAACCAGTGAGAGAGTGTAGTATTATTGTTGACAGTTCTCTTCCTGTCTGACCCACATAGTTTTATCACAATCTTGACATCGTATCTTGTAGACAACATTTCGTCTTTCGTGTGTTCCAGGTCTAGTTTTGGGGTTCGACAGAGTTCTTCTCAATGTGGCAGTTGGTTTGTGGGCCACTGTAAGACTGTGCTGTTTGAATAATCTTGCTGTCATCTCGGAGATGTCCTTTACATAGGGTAGAACGATTCTCTGTTGTCGACTGAGCAGGCTGAGGTGTCATAGCTTTGTTGTTTAGACATCGCCGGACGAAGCTATGTGGATATCCCAATTACGAAGATCGGCGAACAAGTGAACCCAGGTACGATCAACACGTGCTACCAGTGCATCCAGTCATATTGCACTGATTTTGTTGTTTAACCCCCACATCCTTGTTTTCAGTGCACTTGGAATACATACTTTTGGCTTAAATTCCTTCCTCCAGACGGTGACATAATGGTTATTTGTCCTACCGCTTTACCGGTTAGAAAATACTGATTATTGTGGTATGGGTAACTTATCGTTGCACTTTGTTCGCTTTCACAACTGCGCTGAAATCATCTTGAAGTTATCGGTTCGGTCAGTTTCCTTTCACTGTCACCCTGATGGCGGTGACTCAACACTACAAATGTTTCTCCATTGTCTTCTGCTTACATATTCCAACCTACCAAATATGCGTTTTACGACTCATCTTTTATTAATTCCCTCCTCGGTTTCTGTATTCATCTACCAAATAGCACAGAGGAGGCCGAAGCTGTTTATCGGAAAGCTTTAGAGTTTCAACCTAGAAATCCTGATCTACACTACAATGTGAGTCCATGTACTTTTGTTGCAGTTTATTCCTTCCTCACTCGAGGTATTCTTTTCATTGTTAACCTTTTGTTTCTCCATTTATAGCACTGTCTCATATGTCAACTTCGCATACCATCCTGCAGACTTCTTGCCGCCAGTTATATATATAAATATAAATATAAAAATATATATATACATAAATATATATATAAATATATAAATATATATATATATATATATATATATATATATATATATAAGCATAGCCAGCGCCTTTTCCCTGCCCATGCAGTTGCTTCACAAATCTGTTGTCTTCTAAGTTTCTATTGTGGTATCCAAATACCATTTTCCGTATGCACGCTCACTCGATGTTTCCTTTGTGACTAAGCGGTTTCTTAATGTATCTTTGACTTTCAAACTGCCTTCGTATTTCTTAATACACCACAAATCGTGAGTCATTACCTTTGTACCGATACATCCCTACTATCGCGAACTGTTCCATCTTCTGCTGTTATACTGCCGTGAGCTCCAAGATTTCTGCGCTATGGCAATTTTATACTTGGAGGCGAGCGTCCAGAGGTGGTGCTGGTTATTCAGCTGGGAATCCAAATCGAATCTTTCCTCTTTGAAATGCAGTAAGCACTATGCCACATGTGTACAATGCCCTCGAACTTGGGAGTATGTTATTTGCTACCTGAACATGCTCATCGAAATCGCATGGACCTTGTCGACGCAATTCGCAGCGGCAGCCTTTTCATCATTCTTGCTCCACTTTCATCACTTATTAGCCCACATTCCGTTATTTATACTCTACTGAAATAGACCGTTCTTCTAGCTCATTTTATTCACTGTTGACGTTACAGCATTGATCTGATTAACCGAGCTTCATCCGACTATACTACACGTTGTTATGTATTATTCGTTTTCGCTTTCCTATTTGTCACTTTGCAACTTTCAAGCTGGGAGTCGTTTTGTTGGAATCGAACCGCAGTGAAGAAGGAGTTAGTTTTCTGCTCAGTGCACTTTCCATGAAACCTGGCTTTAAGGTGCGTTTCCTCCGTTCGATGATTGAATTACCACGCTTGAATTTTGTACGCATTGGATTCTTTTTAATTCTTCATATTGCCATACTTCGAATGGTATCACTATACTCGTGCTGCCGCCTATATCGGATCGGACCGAGCATGTGTTGAGTAGAGAACCGCTGCTGATACATCCTCTCACTACTTCCGCATTCGAAGCGTCGTTGTCTTGTATGACTACAGCATTTGGCCTCATAGTGACTCAACTAGCTAGCATCTGTGACTCCTTGTTCACTTGTCCATGTGTTCACTGTAGGCGCACTAGCAGGTTTTGCTCTGGGCAATTCCACATTCAACGAAACACGAACATAATGTCGATTCCGATAAGTTCTAATCAACGTTTTGATTCTTTACGCGCGTTGGATTCCGGCACAAGGGCATCGAGGCGATTGAATAGAATCTGAGGAGTCATCCTCCCGTTGCAGAGTAGAAAGTTACTGCTAGAAACTTGTTGGCAAATTGCTTGCCGTCGTCGCCTTTACAGCATACCAATATCTTTCAGTTCATCATCATCATCGTTATACACATTAGCTGCAGGTGGAAAATACATCAGCTATTATGCCGCAATACAAAAGACAAGCAGAAAAATCAACAAAAGTACGCCGGCTGAGCCCCCAGTAACGAATGGACTTCGTTCCGGAGAGCTAACAGGCGGATATCGTGCCGCAAAATGAGTTATATTATGCCTAAGGAATGAGATCATGACTGGAGGGGGTGCTGAGCAGGAGGGGGATGGACAAAGGAACTCACAACACAAACGCCATTGGGGCCGGCTCCTAGCCATGTCAGAAAGTGTGTCCAACCAAACATGCTCATCGTCCTTAGAACCCAGCCAGGCAGTCGGGATGCACCAACGGACGCCAGCTTTTAAGTGACGGTTTTCATTTCTCTCTACCAAGTCATCGCTTGACCTCCCCTCCTTTCCTTTCAACCGCACCCCCGGCGCGCAAACCATGCACGTCGCGGGTGTCGGTGTGCTGGCATACGCAACATGTGACCCAGCCATCGGAGCCTGGTGCGTTATATAATGGTGCTGGGCGGTTCACTCACTCTTCCCGCACCAAATACGCGTAGTCAAACACGCTCATTGCTTACGCGGTGCTCTCACTAGACATGAGCTAAGCTGCTGTGGCAGCGATGATCGAACGTGGCTAGCCTCTTTATGTCTGTCGATCTGATGAGCCAGATTTCACAATGTCTAAGAGGCTTGAACGGACGGCCGGATTATTAACTCTGCCCTTCAGGGCTGGTGTGATATCGCGTCTGCGCCACAGATGGCGTAGATTGGCTAAAACACGTCGAGCTTTTGCTATACGGTTCGTAATCTCAGCTTTGATTCCACGAGATCTAATATAGCTGCCCGAGTACTTGAATTCCTGAACGACTTCTAGCTGATCCCCACTAAAGGTAGGTACAGAGGTGGGTCCTTGCCAACCTTTGAGGATAACTGCATTTCGGGGGAGCGAAGCATAGCCCAAAACGATTGACAGCCAGTGGTAATCGGTCCAGTGCAGCCTGGCTCGTTTGAGCGCTGTCATAAATGAGGGCAATTTCGTCGGCATACCCCAAGTCAAGAAATCGCTCACCAGGAAGTAGCAGCACACCTAGGTTGTGCCCAGCGAAGGCTGTTTCCATGACTCCATCCACAGCGAAGTTAAAGAGGAAAGGTGACAGCTGGCAGCATTGTCTTACACCGCTGGAGATATTGAAGGGCGGTGACAGTTTGCCATAAACCCTCACTCTGCCCGGATTGTGCGCGTACAACGCTTTGATAATGGTTACATATTTATCGGGCACACCTTTTCTCAGCACACATTCCCAAAGGGCACATCGAACCACTGAATCGGAGGCACCTTTGATGTCGAGAAACACGACAGTGGCTGGTCGCCAGTAAACATGGCGGTGCTCCAACCATTGACGCCAAGTGAAGATGTGGTCGCTGCAACCTCGATTTCGACGAAACCCGGCCTGCTTTTCGCGGATCTGGACTTCATGAGCGCTAGCCAATCTTTGGAGAACGATACACGCAAACAATTTAGAGGCATTTGAGTTCAGACTGATCCCTCTATGGATGCCGCATTCTGAGCGGGAGCCTCCCTTGAAAATTTGGGCTATGATGGAGCGGCTCCAGTCTGTCGGGACAGTTTCCTGCTCCCAAACTTCCATTAGCAACTCGTGTAAGTCATCTACAAGAACAGATCCCTCTGGGGGAATTCTATCTGCACCAGCGGCCTTATACAATTTCAACAGTCTGGTCTCACGATCGCCTTCTGCGCGCGAGGGCGGACCTAAGGAGACGGCCCATGGAGAAGGGCTCTCAATGTCCGAAAGAGAAAGCGATTACTCAGATTGGTTAAACTGCCTTGCAAAGTGTTCGGCCTAACGCTTCAAGCGTTTTGACAAGCTGTGCATCGGCTGTCTACTCTCCTCGCTTATTGTCTCGCTAACACTAGGTCTCCTGCTACATGTTTCCCGTATCCGACGGTATAACCTACAATGATTACCAACGGCAGCGGCTTTTTCCATTTCCGATGCACGATGAGACCATCAGGCTTCGCGGTCTCTCTTCAGGCTAGCACGCAGTTTTGCCCTGAGATTTTTGCGAGTCTCATTGTATTCGCTTCCAGCCGGAATACGTCGGCGAGCATCCATAAGTTCCAGAGACTTTGCAGAGACCCAATGTCCAGGTTAGTAATTTGATTTGCCATATCAAGACATGCCTGCTGATAGTAACGTTTGACGAATATACCACCATTGATCTTCGGCGGTGTTCAGTGGACTTTTACTCAGCCCAGATGCCAGGGTAGTTTGATACGCATTCAGAACACCTGGCTTTGCCAGCGGACTTGTGTCAATGCGCTCAGAGCGATTTCGCAGACGTCCGCCGAAACGCACCCGCAGATTAACACACGCAAGTGCGTGGTCGGAGTCCACGCTGGTGCTCCAAATCAAGCGACAGTTTTGGACACAGCCTCTCCAGCGGTAACTAATCGCGATGTGATCGATTTGCTTCCATGGCTGGCCCGAGGCTGGTGGACGCCAAGTTACTCTTTTGCGAGTGCTATGTCCAAAGTCAGTGCTCGTGGGAAAGAGACGAGCACCTTCACACAGGTGTAGTATCTGCTCACCGTTATCTTTACGGGAGCCTACACCATGTTGGCCGCCCAGTTGCAGCGCATCAGAGGACCATTTCCTGACTTGCGCGTTTATATCACCAGCAAGCACCACAGTATCCGTGCTTCTTCTGTATCGAAGAAGATCGTTAAGTTGGTGACGGAAATTATCTTCCAATGAATCAGGGCTACAGTTTGTGGTGGCGTAAGTTGCAGTGACAAACAGGCACCATTTGTCCTCGCGCGACTTCGAGGCCTGGAACGGTGCACATCCAACTGTTGACAGGGATCCAGTCGATCAGTACAGCTTCATCCCGGGGACTCAAAACAATGCCGACGCAAGCTTGACCGGCATTTAGCTGTCGCCAGATAGGCGCAGTGAGAATGTGCCGCTAGTTTAGCATGTGGGGATCGCAGAGTATGCACGGCGCTCGAATGTTGTAGGCGGGTTTCCGATAAACATCAGGTATCAATTGAGAGGGTCTCGAATGTTCGGGTAAGTCCTGCATGTTGGCCAATCTGTAGCAAAGTGCGCACGTTGAGACATTCCACTCTTAGCGAGGATCGAGGATTCCAAAGGAAAACGGATGAACTGACTTTGTCCGCTTGTTTGAACATGGATTTGTTGACTGGATTGGAGCGACGCCCTTCGATTGTGTGAGTTGAAACTAGTAGACTAGGGACTATTCAAGCGAAGTGAGAGAGTGCCAAGGATTAGGGGATGAAAGTGAAGTTGGAACGGGACGCTAAGGATGAAATGCGCAGAAGGGGGAATAAGAAGGCTGGAAGACTTGAGCAGTAGCATCCAAACCGCTATCCACCCTGCTGGATCAGCAGATATTGCTCCGTTTATTATCCTATGCGACGGTCAGAGCATCAAGAGATTGTTAGAAGGAAAGGTCATGGTGTATTGCGTGGGCAGGATACTGTTAGGTTACCCAGGCCTAGACAGGAGAATGATTAGAGTTCTCAACCGAAGCCTTTGGTTCAAAAACCTTACCGCAAGGCAGTGGGGTTTGTGCACTGGACTACAGAGAGCCCGTTTTATGGAATAAGGAGCCACCCTCACTGCAACCCCAACACGAAGTGCCAAGAGACTGAGTTTGTCTGGCCTCTAACCATTGACCAATCTGGTATTAGTGGTTCTGAAGATGCAGAAAGCACCACCCAACATAGCTCAACGAGGCACACGAACCGTCACACCACCTTAAGGTCCAGTCTCATCGCGATGGAGTTCAGTTTCTTCGCGGACTGCACTTGTCCATAACCCAGTGCAATCCTAGCGCAGTGGTTAATTCGCTTTTCCCTGCAGCCTAGGTTTGTAACGTGAATTCCCTGATGTCCAAAAACTCGTAGTTTTGCATTCGCTTAAATTGACAATGCACATTAATCCATTCCTTACATATGCACAGCTGAGGTACAAGTTATTTACTTCTTGTTGTGGCGCCTCTCGGTCGAGTGTTTAACGAGACATCATTCTTAAACTTTATTTTAGTTTTACTGGTTACTGCAGTATGAATGCTTATCGTTTGCTCGTTTACCTGTTTCGGATGCGAGCATCATTTTGCTTGCGTTTACGGAACACTGCTGATTCACATCCGGTGGAAAAATCCGCAGATCAGCACCGCACTTATTTATCCGTCGCGTGCACGGAATTAGGAGATCTGCTCATCATGTCTTAAGGTTAAGTGTTGGAATGTGGACAAATTGCTCTTCGAAGTTAAACAGTGTCAACGAGCAACCTACTGAACATATGGTGCTCTTACCGGTCCCGGAGTCATCACCATTCTTTGTTTTGTCTCTTCTTCTAGCCAGCGATGCTCGCTCTTGCGTCAACTCTCGCAGAATCTTCTAACCCCTCCGATCGTTCCCGAAGCAAACAACTGTGAGTTTTCCAACTGGTTTTTACTTTTCTTTTCACTGAGGAACAACAACTGTTATCGCGCTTTTAGACACTGTTCTTTAATTACTTTCCATGAACCGTCAGCGTGGCGGTTCAGGCGTTTGACTTGTAACCTTAAGACCTTGATTCCAGTCCTCTTCTCTGGATATTGACACTCCCGTGGTATAGCCCGCGTGCAATTACTTCCAGTTGTTACGACAGCGAAGCATCACTGTAAAGTACTGTTGAACTGCCTTTGCCACCCAATCTGTTCTGATGGATATTGGCAAAGGCATAAAGAGCGCTTTGAATACAATAACTTGGAACCGACTGGGATATCATTATACAAGCCTTTTAGAAAACCGATTTATATTCTAAAACTTTGGAAATTATGATATTCCACTAGGATCGAAGTTTATTCCAATATATCGAATTGCTTTACGCACCTCGCGTTCGAAAGTTGACGAGTGAATTCGTACGATTGGCTGGCGTTGAAGCGAATTGGTAAAATCACCGAATCTTCAACATGCGGTGTTTCAATTGTGGGATGCTTCCAAGAAATCTCGTAGTCAAACCACGGGGTAACTCATATACACTGCCAGACTGGCATTTAACCAAGCAGAGCATTTTAAGCACGGATTTATCTGACAACCAGACGGCTGAAGGAACTGCACCTTCACACTAGTCGGCTGAGCTGGGAGCTGCAGACTCTTGTGACGCAGGCATACTACGCGAGACTTTACAACAAAGCCTCAGAAGTTAACGCGAGGGAAAGCTGCGAAAGAATGACAACGTAAATTTTATCATTAAAGATAGGATAGGGAGTTGAGTGAAGCAGAACGTAGATTATTGGAAATGTGTTTACCGTTTTATGTAAATAAGGCATCTTCAGTATGGTGAGACCTTTAAATCGGCCGTTGCTTTTTACGCCGAACATCCTCATTTACATTATCTACTGTACTGGCAGTCGGAGAATATAGGTCCAGCGGCATCCCTGTTTGTTGCATCAATGAGCACCTGAAAGAAACCCGACGCGTTCTCTCTAAACTGAACCCGTCCAATCGGCACGCTGTGTAGGAGCGCAAGCGTCCATCAGACTGCTTGTAAGCTGTCACAGTTGTCTCTTTGCCCCTTTTGTCGGGCCGCATGTGAAGTGGAAACTCGACTGCAAAGTGCATCGTCTGACGACCCCTCTGGCGCGGAGACTCAGCCGACGATAACCTGACTCCGATACGACTGCGGACTGAAAGGCAAACCACTAACGGAGGTCAATGTGAGGGCAACAGGCGCTTACCTCACCAGTATAGGGCGCGGTTGATCACAAAATGCACACACACGCACACTCACACACACACACACACAGAGAGAGAGAGAGAGAGAGCAGTCAGGCTACTATGCGAAGTGTTGAAATTCTTGCAATTTATTTATCGGATCACTGACTGGGCGGTGGATCACGAGCAGATACCGCCATCACTAAGTTACCTTCAATCCGAATCGTGTTACGTGCCTGTTACACAGCGAGTGATTATTTTTCGTCTGTATGGTGAGTACGGGTGTAACACTGAACAAACTACTCGACAATACAGCACTATCCACAGAGCCAAGCGGTTCATCAACGGGCGGTACGTTCGTGGGCTGGTGAGAAAATTTGAGAAAACTGAGAACGTTTGCGACGCCAGAAAGACAGGGCGACCTCGCATCATCACGGGCGACTTTTCTGCTTTTGTGGTTATTCTTAGGTATCCAAACGTTGCGATCTGAGCATTCGTAAACTCGCCCTTCATTGCGACACCACCATAGAATTTTGAAGGAAATGAAATCCTGGAAATATAGCGCCTGTCAAGTGCAGGTTTTATACCCATGTGATTCAGAGAAGCGGCTTGATTTTTGCCGCAGGTTTCTGAATGCCATGGACATCCATTCAATGCTTTTTACCGCTGAGGCTGTTTTCCGTGCGCGTTGCGGAGAAGCAACAATTGGGCAACATGTAATCCACGCGGATGCAGCGCTTCACATAGACAACATGGCGCAAAGGTCATGGTATGGGCTGGGTTAACTGGCCAATGAATCTTGCGACCAATTTTCTTTTCCGGTAATGTGACCGGTAGGTTGTTGTTTCGCAGTACTAATGCCTTACGCTTTCTAGCATCTTCTTACAAAACTTACTGCAAAATTGTGTCCTGTAAGCCGCTGGGTTATTAAGTACCGTTTGGTTGCAACACGAATTTGGTCGATAAATCATTGCATGATGCATATATTTCCAGATTCTCAATGTAATGCTCAGATTTGTCAGCGAAGTTGATGTTCCAAGCGTCCGCTAGCGTTTTGCGTACAGTGCAGCATTCGCCTGATGGTGTTTGCTAGCACTTTCTCTAATGTACCAACTGTGATCCCGCAACATTCGTGCAAAATGCTCTGCTCCAGTTCCTCAAGAGAATTCGGCTTCGTTTTATAAACTCGTGGTTTCAAATAACGGAAGAAGAAATCCAATGGGTTCAAATCTGGTGACTGAACAGGCCACTCTATATGTTCCGCTGCCCGACCCAACGGCCAGGGTGGTCGTCAGACGATGCACTTTGCAGTCGAGTTTCCACTTCACATGCGGCCCGACAAAAGGGGCAAAGAGACAACTGTGACAGCTTACGCGCAGTCTCATGGACGCTTGCGCTCCTACACAGCGTGCCGATTGGACGGGTTCAGTTTAGAGAGAACGCGTCGGGTTTCCTTCAGACGCTCATTGATGCAACAAACAGGGATGCCGCTGGACCTATATTCTCAGTCTGCCTGTATATGTCGGTTTTGCAAGGTTACTTTGATAGATAGTTTGTTTATTCATATTCCATGGCCACTGAGACTCTACTCCATTCAACTTTGAATATAAACGGGAGATATTGCGCGTGCTCCCCAATCTATTGTCTTTGGGCATAAAATTCTACGTCAGTTGCAACGAATTCTGAAAACACCTTTTGAAACCTTTTGATTAGATACAATTCCTGAAGGTTTGGTTCAGCTTATTGGGGTCGTTGCTCGATCGACCCATGATAGTGCATGCTTTTTTTCTACCCATATGTAAAATTAGCATTTTTAATAATAACCCTTTGGTAACTTTACAGTTGATAGTGTAAAATGCTGAAAATGCACCCATATGGATACTGCCTTACATGCCTTGACTGCCTTATATAAGTGCGGAAGAAGTCATTCCTAACATTTAGACAGTGTTAACAAAATTACCTGTTTCAACAGCTGATGATGTTTATGCACACGTAGCAGATATAGAATCAGATTCCAACAGCCCTTGCAGTTAAATCTTGCAACAGCAGAGTATACTGCATTAAAAGCCTTATAGGAGGACTCTACCATTATCATCACAAAAGCCGATAAAGGTAAGACCATGATAATAATGATTAATTCGGATTATGTAGGAAACTGGAGGAGCATTTAATAACAGATCCTTACAAAGAGATTGAGAAGAAAACGGTATCGTTGGAAGTGAATAATAATAAAACGGAGGTTGGCAATTATCTGAGAAGTCTCAGGGACTGCCTAGGGCCGGGTACATGGTATAATGTATATCCGAAACCAGCCCTCCTGCCTAGCATATACGGGCTACCGAAGATACATAAGCCCAACCCTCCCATTTGGGCCATTGTGGATGACATCATTCCTCCAACCCTGTAACTAGCCGGATATCTGGCAGGTTTGTTGAAGCCCCTAACTGGGAAAACAGATACGTTCATAAGGAACTCCTATGATTTCGCGCAAAGGACTCAGGTTTGATCATTGAGTCAGATGAAATAATGGCCAGCTTCGAGGTTAGTTCACTAATTACGAACGTGCTAAAGGGTGACACATTTGGGATAGCACAACGCTGTCTGATTGAGGAGAGTAGCCTGGGAGAAAGAACAAAACTCACAGTAGACCAAATAAAAGAAGCATTAAAGTATGCCTTTATTATGTCATTTTTTACCTTCCAGTTGAGGCTGTATGCTCAGGAAAAAGGCTTTGCCATGGGGTCTCTAGTATCTATCATACTGGCAAATCTATCTATTGAAAACTTTGAAAAGTGAACGTTGACAAACTCCAGTAGCTCACCAAGGATTTGGTAACGCTACGTAGATGATACTTTTGTCATCACTAAGCGGGATAAGAAATAGGGATTTATAACCTATCTAAACTCCATTAATGGGAACGCAAAATTTATGATCGAAGTGGAATCTTGCGGGGGTACACGGCCATTTCTTGATGGTTTAGTTCACAGGAACGGGGGACGGCTAAAATCCATGAACAAGCCTTTAGAAAACCCATTTGTATCCTAAACGCTTTGAGTTTTTCTTCTCGTCGAATAACTACCTGTTTTAAGGATGAAAACTCTTACGAACATTGGGACTTCCGAACTACTTGATTATCATCTAGCTGCTAATAACTTTGTGTAGCAGTGCACATCAGTTTTTTGCTTTGCCATTTCCCCAATGCTCAGGCTGCGAGGTTTTCCAGCTGTATCGGCAGAATATGTTATACGCTACCAGTTAAATTTTATGCACTCTTTTAATACTAGATAGGAGATATTTCCGATATTCGCGTGATAATCGCTCATCCTGAGCGTTTTCCGACCCTGTATGACCGTACTCTAAGAGATGCTGCTTGATGGAGCTATTAGAAGACATCGCTTCTCCTCTGTAAAACCTCTTGGGAATGTCTCCACAAATTCTATGCTAAAGGCGCTCCGTAGTACAACCCGCGTATCGTGCAACACAGGAGCATGAGTACTCATAAACAAGTATTGATCGAGGCAACGGAGCCAATATAAGTTTCAGCGCTTTTGCGCCTAAACGATTGTTGTAGTATCCTACGCGTAGCTGAGCCGCGAATTTGCTCTTCTGAACAGCATCTTTCAGGCGTTTGCACAGGGCACCTGCCGCACTGTCGTTTTTGAAAGAAAACTGCACACAGAGTTGTTTATTGAGTACGCTCATCCACAGTGCTTTTCTCTTACGTTCTTTGATATGTTTGAGGATGGATTTATCCCTTTACTCTTAGGGCGTCACTGATCCTCCGTAATTTGTTGGTAACGGTGTCCTTTGTACAGATGCTGTGCGACCGAAAGCGGACTGCAGACTAAATTTCACTTGTACTCTAGCATCGTCTAATCTATTTCTGAGCGATTCTCGCGCGAATTCCCGGAAAAATTTGCTAGGTATTGCTAAAGCTATCTTTTTTCACGTCTCTTTTACACTGTCAAATTCGTTAACTATGAATTGATATTATAATTCGTGCCATAAAATCAGCTCGTTGAATTCTATTAGGCTTTCAACGTTGATCCTATAGAGGCGTCTGAATCATTTACATAAACCGATTAAATTTAACGGGTTGCATATCTAGCGTTCGCATTATTGCCTACCTGCTTGAGTAGCCGATGTCGAGTCAGTCTGTGGACTTTGTTTAAGTCCATAAGCGCACTCAACAAGTGCGGGAGGATGTCATCTTAGTACGATTGCGTGCGATGAAATTAAACTGCATTCAGGGTTCATTGAAGAATCGGATAGTGCCGTGATGTTCTCGGTATTGCATATTCGCAACAACTTTCTCTTTCACCTTATAGCTCCCATACATTGTTGCCGTTCATTCCTATCGTGCCATTCAGTGTTTTCCATCATGATCATGATTTGAATTGCACATAGAGATATAACAGCCGTTCATCGATTTTCTGTGTTCATCATCATCATCATTATACATGTCAGCTAGAGGTGGTGAAACACCTCCGCTATTGTACCTCAATACATAAAGGAAATACATACATACAATACATAAAGGAAAAATGAATACGACAGTTGCATGCCAGCTGAGCTACCAGCAACGGATAGGCATCATTCCGGTAAGCTACCAGCCAGCTACTAGGCAAAAGAATTATGTTTTACCCTACGGAATGAGATCGTCTTTTGGACTCCAACCAGGGAGCCGTGACGCTCCAACCGAGGCTAGCTCCGAAGTAAGGTACTTCATTCCCCTGGACCAAGTCATCGCTTGGCCACCTTTCCTCTTCTTCCACCCACATCCCCGGTGAGCAAACAACGCACGTCGAGGGAGTCAGTAGGCTGGCATGCGTAACACGTGGCCGAGCCATCGGAGCGTGGTGCGGGCAATAACGGTGTTGAGCGGTTCATTCTCTTTTCCTGGGCCGTAAACGAAGAGTCGAACACGCTCGTTACTCACGCGGTGTTCCCACCAAATGTGAGCCAAACTGCGAAGGCACCGGTGGTCGAACGTAACTAGCCTCTTCATATCCGCCGATCTTAGGGGCCAGGTTTCGCAACCGTACAGGAAGGTCGAACGTACCGCTGCATTGTACACTCTTCCCTTCAGGGCGAGAGTAATGTCGCGCCGTCACCATAACTGGCGAAGATTAGCAAAAGCACTTCGAACTTTCGCTATACGGTTCGTGATCTCGTCTTCGATCCCAAGGGCACTGATACAACTTCCCAGGTAATTTAACTTCTGAACGACTTCTAGCTGATTCCCACTAGGGGTCAGCACAGGGGACGATCCCTGCCAATCTTGGAGAAACGCTTTGCACTTCCATGGTGCAAAACAAAGCCCGAAGCGACTGACAGCCAGTACTAATCTGTCCAGCGCGGCTTGGTACGTCTGGGAGCTGTCACAGATGAGGGCAATATCGTCTGCGTACTCCAAGTCAAGAAGTCGTTCTCCTGGGCATAGCTCCACACCTTCCAAATCATGTCCTGTAAACGCAAACTCCATGGCTTCGTCAATAGCGAAGTTGAAGAGAAAAAGGTGACAGCGGGCATCCTTGTCGCACACCGCTGGAGATATTGAAGGGTGGCGACAGCTTGCCGTAAGCCCTCACTCTGCCCGTGCTACGCGCATATAATGCTTGGATATTATTTACATATTTCACGGGCACACCTTTCCTGAGTAGACAATTCTAAAGGGCACATCGATCAGCCTAATCGAAGGTACCTTTGATGTCTAGGAATACGACTACGGTGGGCCGCCAATATGTGTGACGGTGCTCCAACAATTGACGCAAGGTGAAGATATGGTCGATGCAGCCACGACCCCGACGAAACCCGGCTTGCTTCTCACGAATCTGGCTTTCACGAGCGCCAGTCAGTCTGTGAAGAATTATGGAGGCGAGTAATTTGGAGGCGATATAGATCAGACTGATTCCTCTATGGTTGCCGCATTCCGAGCGCGAGCCGCCTTTGAAGATGGGAATAATAACGAGCGGCTGCAGTCGGTTGGGACAATCTCCTGCTCCCACAGTTTCACTAGTAATTCATGCAAAGCATCAACAAGAGCAGAGCCTCCGAATTTGAAGAGAGCTGGAGGAAGATCATCTGGTCCCGCGGCTTTGTTCAACTTCAACAGTCCGATCTCACGTTCGACTTCTGAGCGAGAGGGTGGATCCAAAAAGACAGCCCACGGAGCAGGGCGATCAGTGACCGGCGAATCGAACAATTCTAGCCGATTAAATTGCTTTTCAAAATGCTCAGCCCAACGCTCCAAACGTTTTGACAAATTATGGATAGGCTGTCCACTCTCATCACAAATTATTTCACTAACTCCAGGTAATGTCTGCAGTATCACTTTGAGATCTCCGTCTTCCCTCGTAGTACTGAAGATTACCACCCTTGGCGATTCATGACTGTATGGTCGATTCGGTCAGTTGCACCGTCTTTCGCTTCGCATTGTAATCACGGAACTCCCAAATTCATTTGACAAATCGATTATTTGTTGACTCTTTTGGTCTCCGTTCAGTTTTGCTTTATATTGCTTACCTACCTCACTGCTAATGTTCCGCAAAATGTCTATAGAATTTGATAACTGTCATTTTACTTTTTTGCTGATCCCTTGGTGTCGCTATCTAAATCAACTCTCCTTCCGTTAAACCACTTGCCCTCCACATTGGCCGATGGGATGAATGGGCTCTTTCCTTCACAAGGCCTTTTAATCTGAGCAGAATTGATTGTGGCTACACAATCATTCTGTTCCTCTCGGCTCCGAAGATTCGAGACGAGACCTCGCACCTTATGTCATGCCGTCGACTTCACTATGGGTTCGAACTTGCGCGTTTTCACTGTACAGATAAGGCAGATTTTTTGTCAAATGATTCCAGACTCTGACTTTTTACTCTGATGGTTTCTATTTGTGTTCTGCTTCTTAAAAGTTGTTTAACCTCCCACCACTTATTCATCATTACCATTCCATTCACATTTTACAGTCTCGAAGAACTATCTTCTGAGGAATACGAACTTCGGAAGGTTTGGTTCTCTCTCGCGATGCTCGAAACGGACTTGCGCAATTACAGCAATGCTGTCTTCTACTATCGGAAGCTTCTTCAAGTTAGCTTGTTCATAGGTTGATGTTCCATCATATTATCGTTACATTTCTCCCTTCGCTGTTGCCACATATCGGATATCACTTTTTGCAGCTCTTATTTTGATATTCTATCGGCTGTTAGGTTGAATTCATGTCTTCCTGAAAACGAGGACCACGAACTGCGCATTCTAGAGGCTACTAACAGAGGACGACCATTGACACATGGAGACCAGTAGTGTGTGTGGTAAACATCTTTTAAAGGGATTTGTGTAATCTGGCAGATGTTTATTCTTGATTGATTGTTTTTACTTTTAACCATTCTAGTCTCCACTGCTTACTGAGCTCTCATTTCTGCCTCACTGTCCACACCGAAAAGATGTTATTCATACCTTGAAAATTGAGCAGCGCAAGACCTATGCCCGCCGACACGAATAAAGCCGCGTTCAATTCCGTCCTACCTGAACTTGCTGTTAACAACCTGTGAGCAACATCTATATGACATTCAGGTCCTAGAGCATGTAGCAGCAAGCGATCACTCAATGCGCATATCCAGTACGGATCTATCTTTATCGTATTCCTATCCGTAGGAGCCAGCTTACAACTGCTAGAAAGCGGACTTCGACGGTCTAACTCCAGCCGCCAGCCAAGTGGATTAGTCTCTGTTGCCTGCTACATCTGCCAAAGAATATTGAACTGTTATAGAAGAGGGAGTGGCATTCCTGTGTTCTCCGACTTTCCAGTTGAAGTGTCGGAAAGTTGGACCATTCAAGTCGTATTGGTCCGTCAACGTGCATAGTAAAATGTCTCGGCGGCGGCGCAATTTGTTGGACAAATTCCTCCTCTCCGGCTCTTCCATTGACTATGATAAGCATAAGGGATAGCGAAATGTTTGCCGGGGTGCAAAAACGATCAAGCGCTGGCATTTCGAAGAGCAGCTCCTAACGGCTGCAAAGATCGACTTGAAGATAATATTTGCGTACGTGAAACAACGCCGAAACCCGATAGGCCATCTGCCAGTGCTAGAGGGTTCGGAAGGACAGCCCCTAATCTCCATCATTGAGCGTGCGTCCGTGTTGACGGCGTACTTCGCTTCTTTGCTTGCAAATGATCAGGTGTCTATATTACGTTAGACGTGTACCGCGTTTATCGAACTCGGCAGTCTGGTTTGCAGTGTTGTAAAGGTGCGTCAGCTACTCGCCAACCTTGACTGCACCAAATCTTCTGACCTTGACGTACTCCACTCGCTGCTTCTCAAGTCCCTATTGGCCATCATCTCACATGCCTTGACTGACTTCTTTAAATGGTCACTATCCGAAGGTTAATTACCGAGTGATTGGATGTGTTCGGTGATAAACCCGATTCCGGACGCAAAGTGGCACCTGCAATAGACCGATTCGTCTGACACCTATTTTGGCCAAGCTTGCTGAGAAGACCGTGAAGAAAGGTCTACTGCAGCATCTGATCAAAAGATCTCTTGACGCCCGCACAGCACAATTTTATGCCACGTCGTTCATGCCTTACCAATCTGCTGGTGACGTGGCATGTATGGTTGCAGGCGTTGAACCAGGATCAGTCTGTCGATATAATCCACCTGGATTTCGACAAGCTAAACAACGGGGTTCTCAGCCACAAGCTGAGTGTGTGCGGTGTTGCTGGATCACTACACAAGTGGATCCAGGATTTCCTCGTTGGGCGAAACTGGAGGATGCAGGTCGACGGCCATCTAATTGACTGGCGTAATCCAAGTGGCGTAGTCCAAGGCACGCTGCTGGGACCCACTCTGTTCCTGATCCACATCAATGATCTACCTTCTTCGATCGCCGTACGCTCTGTTTGCGAACGACTTGAAGATTTGAAATAAGATTAACACCTGAGACGGCTGGCCTACTTCAGCAATACCTAAACCGCCTCTCTAGGGGGTCTACTGAAGTCCATCTCCCGGTCAACCCAAGCAAGTCGGTACTCAGGAGCCTGGGGAAGGGTGGTGACGACCAACCGCTTCATCCCACATCTTCAATGAAGAACTTGGGTGTACTCTCGCGCTACGATATGAAGTTTATTGACAGCATGAACAGACTATAGCTTTGGACACTCAAACGCAGATTCTGTACTTGGTCTGAAGAAGTCGCCATTCGCCTCTTCTCTTCCATCATAAGACCAATATTGGAGTACGGCTTGCTCGCTTACTGTCCAATCACCCGAGGCGAGGCACAGAGGATCGAACGGATCCAACACATCGCTACCATACCCATTTTAATATTACAAGGATTACCGTACGAAGACAACTGCGCCAAACTGGAACTCTACACCTTATCCTATCGTCGTGTGCGAGTCGATCTCATCATGATCTTTCGCATATTACCTCCTGTTGTGCCGGAGATGAAATGATTACTCCACTCCCTGTGTTTCGATCGGAGAGTGGTAAATTTTCGGAACACTTTGCCACAGCAAGTCTTGAATGCCAAATTTGTAAAGCAGTTTAAAACGTTGGATTTACTTTCCACTACCTTTCGATTCAGAGAACGATTGCTCACTACCAATGACATCTTACATTTGTGAGCCCAGTGCAACTGTAAGTCAGTCATCTTTAACTGCTACATAAGAACTTGCAAAACGATTAGAGATTATCACCGATGGCAGATACATTTTATGACATTTTTGATTATATTTCGACGGAGTTGTTCAGATTTGCATTTCTACTTATTCCTATGGCAATGAAATGCTAATTTGTTGCCGTGGTTTATCCCAGTTTGATTTGTCTTGTTTAACCCGACGCTTCACTATTTTCATTTTGTTCCGAGTTAAGTCCTGGCCGCTAAATTTCCTTATTTTTGATGTACTTTTAATCTGTTTTAATAATCTTCTGCTTCTCGTAGATGGAACCGGAACACCGCAGTGCCCTCTTCAACCTGGCTTTGCTTTACGTTTATCACTTGAGCATCTACGAAGAGGCGGAACCTTTACTTCAACAGCTGATTAAGGTAGGTCTCTGTTTTGGTGAAACTTCCTTTTACTTCTCTTCCTCTCATTACCTATTCGTCTTTTTTCTCGTTGAACCAATGCGACAGTTACGTAACCTTCCCCACTCCACACTGGGTACTCAGAAATGCGGTTGCATGCGTACCCGTTGATTTCACACTGCACCTCAACATGTTTTTGTCCCTATACTCGAATGCAGTTTGCTTCATTTCTTTTATCTACTCTTGTGTAATTTACAGTGGGATTGTGGTCTTCTCCGGCATTTTCTCTGTCGCACACTATTTATATATTTATTATTTATATTATTTATATATTTGGTATATAAGCTCATTCCTAATCTGTGTTCACTCACGGGTTATCGCTCCCCTCAAGTCTTTTCAGAAGATGAGTATGTTTAATTTTTATCGAGTTGCCTCTTAGGTAGATTAATTGTCTTGCGACCTGTGCCCACACGCGCAATTTTCCGGCGAGCAACTCCTTGATTCACTTGTTTCGCCGTTAAATGCATTTCATTTTTACACTTCCAGGTACACCCAAACCATGTTAAATCTTATCTGTTGCTCGGTGAAATTGAATTAAACTGGAAAAAACAACCCAGATCCGCCTTACTGGTTAGTGCGCATTTTTTTTACCTTTTCCATCTACCAACTTGTTCTGTGTTTTTGCATGGCTGTGCCTTAAGGAACGGAAAAGTAAGAGGGTTTTCTTTAACTTAGTCGTCCATTCACCCCGCCACTGGTCTTTCTGCACTCTCAGCTTTTGAACGAATAATTCGAAAATGCTCTTTGCATCTCTTGCCCTTATCTCATTACTGCGGACCTATGATTGAGTACGCAATTTACTACACTTCTTTTCTCACTATTCGACTCCAGCCCCACATTTTACAGCATTTACTGTTTTAGCGAGATTCTTACTTTAGTTTTCCACGCATTAAAATTACTTGTGGATTGCGATGCCATTCAGATTCAAGTCAAGTCGTCGAATATAAGCTTCGTGGGTGCACTTTCAGCATTTTACGGTGGCTACTGCGGATGTTTTAAACCAAGATCATTAAAAAACAAACTTTATAACAGGACAAACTAATTTTAGAACAAAGTGTAAGCCAAGTAAACGGTCCCGAATCTGCATCCTGTTGACACTGCAGTGTCGAAACCCATTTTGTCTATCCGGACAGATGCGTGAAGTTACAGAACGCCTGATGATTTCGCGTAGTACGCTCAGTATCTCAAAGTCCATTTTTAGCCAATCAATGGAGAACTGTATTTGGAACCTTTTAGCTAATATAACAGAAGAAAATATCAAAAAATGTTTAGTGAAGACTAATTAATCCGCAGCAATTAGAGTGCCAACGATATTCCAGTAAAAAGACAGTGGCCGATTTAAACGCCTGCCTACTTTCAAAGTTTTTATCCTTATTTTGTGCCTCACTGTTTGTCACTTTTTATTTCAGATTATTCATAATGTTAAAACAATCACCTTGCGGTGTCTGTTCCGAGACTGTCGGATATCGTACAATTGCACTCACATGTGTTATGTCGCGTAGCTTCCATCTTCCATGCATATATATATATATATATATATATATATATATATATATATATATATATATATATCATCATCAGCAGCAATCTATGAGATGGACAAAAAGCCAGCGAAAACCATGAAACGAAAGTAATAGATCCAGAGACCACAAAGAAAGAATGAATCTTGCAAAATGTTTTTGTGTTTTTTAATCTTGTCTGCATTTTTTCACACAACGTTTTATCTTTTTGTTTGTTTAATGTTTGCGATGTTAATCAAAAAAATCAAGATAAACATCTGTACAGCTTTTTCATTGGGCCCGGTTCTGCGCCATCTCCGCAAGAGTTTCCAGCCAGCAGTGTTCTTTATCTTTGATCCCCCAGCCCGGAAGACACATGGAAACTTCGACTGTTAAATTGGAAGTCAGCGTTTTAATCGTATCTTCACGTGATAGTCTGACCACCGCGCGATTTCTTCCAGGCTGGTCCTGTGCGAGCAAAGAGAGCGCGTCGGAGCAGCCGTTCACGTGACGTGCGTAAATCGTGGCCCAGCCAACTCAGTTGGCGCAGCGATACCAGTCTGTTAAGTTGAAGTCCCGTGTTGCCCAAGATGCGACGTGTAGCATCATCGTTGCGCACGTGGTTCATCCACCATACTCGAACTTTTCTTCGCAGACATCCATTGTCAAAGGCTGAAATCCGACACAAGTCATTCTCACGAACACATGCATTGTAGACCTGTAGGAGCTTCAACTTATTCTGCTATTTTTTAGCTTATTTCTCTTCGCACAGGGAAGATGCTAGCCACAATCATGTGACTCTCTAACCACATCATTCAAAAGCTATTGATGTGCATACAAGTGATACGTCACGGCGTCGCCACAGATGTCACAAGTTCGCGAATGCCGAACGGTCATTGACAATGCGGAGGGAAATGTTTTCCAATGTTACCATTAGCAGAAACACATCTTCCCAGGTAAACAAAATTGTCCACTTGTTCAAGCTGCGTACCTTGAAGAGTGAGCACTGGGGCAGGTGGATGCCAATCCAGGACAGGACTTTTCATTTCTTAGGGGCAAAGGTCATTCCATGTGTTGTTGCTTTAATCGCCAAGCGGTTTAGAACGGCTTGCGTGCTCTGTGCGTCGTCACCAAACAAGGCAATATCATCAGCACAATCTAAATCGGTCACTTGGTTTCTAGGAAGAAGCTATACACCAGAACCCTGAAAGCCCTCGTGAGTGTTTAAAAGGACATCATCGATCGTAAAATTGAAGAGAAACGGGGACATGGGGCAACCCTGTCGTACACCTCTAGTGATAGCAAAAGGTGAGGAGAGCTTACCATAAGCCCTCACTTTACTTGTGACAATATAGTGCAATATAGTGCACGAAGGATGGTGATATATTTTTCGGGTACTCCATTTTTTTGTAAGCAACGCCATAAAGCTGACCGATCGACGGAGCCGAAAGCGGCTCGGATGCCCAGAAAAACAACGATAGTGGGCTGACGGTAAAGCTGACGCGTCTCAAGGAGTTGACGGAGCGTAAACAAGTGGTCTATGCACCCTCGACCGGGGCGGAAACCAGCCTGTTCTTTACGGGAACGCAATTCTCGAATAGGGGTTAGTCTGCGGATTAGAATGGATGTTAACAGCTTAGAGGCCCCAAGAGGGTGGAACTAGTTCTTCACATCCGATCTTAGCGAACAGAGCTGATAGCTGGTTGACACTTACTGTGCCCCCGAACTTGAACAGCTTTGGAGCAAGTCCCTCTGGACCAGCAGACTTGAATCGTTTTAAGTGTCGGAGCTCAAGACAGACCTCAGCTTCAGCGGGTAGTTCCAGTGAGACGTTCTAAGGCGCGCAACTAGGTATATTCAATAGGCTCGCTGGCGGAGAATGCGGACGTGTTCATGCCAGCGGTCCGTACGCCTGTGTGTTGCTTATCGGCGTTCCGTCAACCTCGCAAATGACCTCACTAACACCAGATCTTTTGTGACCAGTAGCCCGAATGACCTGGAAGATCTTGCGAAAGTTTCCAGACGACTGCCGTTTCTATCTCTGAGGCGCGCTGGGACCACAAAGTTTCGCCACCAGTACGCAGACTTTGCTTTAGTTGTTGGCTGAGAATGGGACGCAATGCACTGCTATTTGAATCGGTCGGGATAGTTCTACGACCATCAAGCAATCCAGTCAGTGTGCGGAAATCCAGCCCCTCAGAGGGCGCCTTGTGATTCCGCAGGTTGAATGACTGTAAGTTAGCACCACTTCACGCAGGAAACTCCAATGATTTTCGATATCTGGAGGTGGAGAACCAATGCATGCATGCGATTAGGAGAGAGGTCAGCTAACTTGTTGGTGTCGAGTTTATGTAGCTTCCGTTTTGTGGAGCCGCCGGCTCCCATGCAGATGTCAGCGCAGACCAAAACATGATTTGAATCGAGGTACGTAAATCAAATCGATTTACAACCCCGGATGCTGCCTCGCCATCGAAAGCTGATTGCAATATAATCTATTTGTGACCACGCTTGCGTTGGTGAAGGAGGACGCCAGGTGGCTGCTCGTTTTCTGACACACCTAAAGTTCGTGCTTGAGAGAAAGAGAGGGTGGTCTTCGCAAAACGCAAGAAATCTATTGCCGTTGTCAGAACGGTTCTCATTAAGCGCGTGTTTGCCACCAATATGACGTTCGCATTTAGGCAGGCGACCTACACGTGCGTTGAGATCTCCGGCAAGGACGATAACATCTGACTTTTCGGCCTCACTCAAAACGTTGTGAAGACCAGGATAAAAGTCATCCTTATTCGATACACAGCTGCATTTGGTTGGAGCGTAGGCATTAACGACAAACAAATTGCGCCTTTCTTCACAATGTCTTTTTATTACACATGAGTCTTGAAGCCGAATGGCACACATCCGATTGTCGATTGGAAACCAGTCGAGTAATGTTGCCTCCGCTTTGTCACTCCATACGATACCGACACCAGCTAAGCCGGCTGCTACTATCTCCATGTAACTAGTCAGACGTAGGTAATATTTGCTCTCAAGAACAGCTGGGAACGACAACCATGGTGCAGAGACCATGTAATCGAGTCTGAAAGGCAACAAACGTCGATGGCGTGGGACTCTGGAGTTCACACCAGTCCAGTCTTTTGTCTAAGCTGTAGGATGGTCCGAACAATGAACACTGCCATACGGAATGAAGTACGGAGTCGAAGGACAGCTGCTGGCCGGATCACTTGGATATCGGCGAGACGGACATTGGAAGTAGACTCAACAGGTTGTAGCTAATCAACAAGAGGAAAGTTGGCGTGTGATGGAGAAGCACACGTAGCAGCGAAACCAGCAGCAAAAGTAAGCGACGTAGTAGTAATTGCGAAATCCATGGTTTTCACAGAGGGCACGAGACTACCTGGTTTCCCAACCCGAAGTAGGGAGTTGCCTTAGTGGATTCCACCCCGAGCCTTTGGCTCAATGGCCTACTCGCAGGACAGCGGAGCAGTTAGGGATTCACACCTATTGGGAGCCGATGACTGATTGCTCAGTTCATCCGCCTTTTATTTGGTGTGTAGTCAAACAGGGGCCAATCTTTCCCACGATTTGAGCAGCAGGGTGTTGGGATACAATGGTTCACCAAGGTGAAACAAGGGTCAGTGACTTTATTTAGTGGCGAGTCACCACCGCCACGTCGCAGTGTTACTAAACGAACACGTAGCTTTTTATAGGGTGAACGCTTGCCAGGCGAAAACCCACCACGTCCTGGAATACTGCCGCCTAACCGTTCGCTGGACCGAGATAATTCCAGTCCACCCATCTCGTACTACGATTAAGTTGTTCGGCAATAGTGTAGTTGGTGCAAGAAGAGCGAGTGAACCACTCAACACCGTCATATCACGCGCCAGGCTCCGATGGCTGGGCCAATTGTTGCGCATGTCAACCCACCGACTCCTGCATTGTGGATTGTTTGCCCGTCGGGGGTGTGGATGAAATAAGAGGAGTGGTGGCCAAGCGGTAACTTGGTCAAGGGGGATGAAATCCATCACTTCGAATTTGACGTCGTTTGGAGCCTGTCGACTCCTTGCTTGGGGTCCGAAATACGATGGACACATTTGCTTGAATACACTAGTTGACATGGCAAGAAGCCGACCTCAGTGGCGCTTGTGTTATGAGTTTTCTTTGTCCTTCCCCTTCACGCTTCTCTTCCAACGACTATCTCACTTTTGATGCATAATATGTTACTATGCACGGTGCTATCTGCTTTTTGCATTGTATAATTTTCAGTATCTTACTTTTTTGTTCGATTTTATCTTATTGCATTACGGCACACAAGTTGAACTCTGTTTGTCACCTTCAGCTAATGTATACTAAGGATGATGATGATGCGGCTTATGAATCTCCAGTAAAGAAAAGCCGTCCCATTCAGCAGATAGCATTAACATAACAGTCGACGGCTTTATGTTTCCTGATATGCATTCGATATTTGGGCACAGCCGATATTTGTTAACGTATGGGATTACTGAATGAGAAAGGTAATATTCCGTGATCAGTACCCGGAAAGTACTCTAGTACCTCGGCGTATGCTGATAATATGTTAATGGTAAATTTAAGGTAAAGATATGCTCCTCTCTTGTTGGAGACCGGACATCCTTGATCCATCCGTATAAATTAGAGAGTAGATCAGATTGGTGTATTTGGCATGTATGTAGCTTGAGGTCCACACTACATCCGGCATGTTTGAAGTCACCGCCTATTATCCTTGGCAGAACAGATTGTAGTGCGGCAATATCTGTAGCATTGGAATTTGGGTGCATATATGTACGTCCGAGGAGTAACATATGGCCATCAAATTGTACTTTTACAACGATGGAGTCGTCAAAACAGTTACGTTAGGGAATTTTGACCGTTGGTGTACACACGGCATTGTCCACAAATGTGGCGCCACTACCTCTTAACTTGGACTTACGACTTATGATCTTTTAATCCATTGTGTGGTCGTTGTACTCAGAAATGTCTTCCATTAACCATGTTTCTATTACAAGTATGATGTATACAACAGAGTGAGATATGTGAGCGTAGCAAGCAGATTTTTTTCAATTGAGCGTGCGTTGATTATCGGTATGCGCCTGTAAAACGGCTTACGGGGCAAGTTCGTTATTTGTCGGAATTGTACAGGGCTATCCACTGATAACTGGCGATAGCCAGTTCTAGATTATCTAAAGTATTCGGACATATATCTATCCGCAGGGAGGGTGAGCATGGAGATGCAGATGACGCTATGGTGTCCGCGGCTAGTAAGTTCGGACGTAAAGACACATTACCCCTTGTGAACTCAGGAATAACTTGGAGTATGGAATGAGTTGAGGCACTGGGTGTAACTTGCGACTGGCCTGGTATTGGGTCATCCTTGCCATCTGGACGAATCGCACAAACCGTGGTTTCTTTCGCATGTACCAGCGTTGGCAACGGTTGTGAGCACACTCCCGCTTCCCCTAAAAATGGCCATCTGAAACCTAGTTCATAGATGTCTGTGTGTATGGAATGGGGTACAGTGCAGCGTTGGCCAGTTATTCCCGATACCATCATTTTTTAATATTTCGGTTGTACGCTGGAAGCCAATACACAGTATTGTCCACGAGATAATTTTTCTAATTTCATTCAGTTTGGGGCTATGAGTAACGATTCGGCCACGATGGTTTTTTCGGAAAAATCATTGTGTGTTTGATGGTCCTAGATTTGAAGATCCTTTGCAGGCATCGGTCATCCTAATGACTGATTCATCGGCCGGTGACAGCGTTGTGTTTGCAGCGGTTCGTTGCTCACCTAGACATGTGCCTTGTTTTGCTCTGCCGGTCATTATCCTGATAACAGGCCTTTTGCAGATGTTAGTTTCCTACTTTGGAATCCTGGTTTCGATCCTACTTGTGTTATATTCGGTCCAATCAGCTCACTGGTAGCTCTTTTACTCATCAGCGTTGTGATGGGATCAGGAGCATAGACACTCGAAGTCGCCACCTCAGGGTGTGTTATGTCAAGTTCTAAATCAACGCAGCTAGCGGCTACGTCGGTTTGATTCGCTTCCCGCATCTTTGTTCCTGATTTCGGATCGCATGATATTTCTACTTTTAGCGTTCGTGATGGGGATACAAGCAATGACCTTGCGGGGATGTCAGGTCTTGTTTAATCACTATATCTTTGAAGTGAGTATGTTGTGCTATAGCGAGTCGATAAATCGCGAATCTCCGCATATTGTTCACTGGAAAATTGGAAAGTTATCGAGCAACACCGCTTCGGTGTTTCTTTTATTAGATGTGTATCTTTTCAATCGACCGCGGACAAGTTGCAAACACAGGTCTATAAGGATTGACCTTAAGATGCATTGTCTGCCGATGATACTTGAGACAAGGGTGCGATTGTCATTATCAATTATACACATGTCTACGTATGCTTTTGCATTTTCTATAATTACTTATAAGGCCTACTATTACGTTTCCATTTCACTTTTCAGGCTTTTGAGAAAGCTTTTGAGCTAGATCCTCGGAACATTCAAGCGAAACACAATGTCTGCGTTACACTGGCGGAAGCGGGTGACCTTAAAGCCAGCGAAACATGTATTCTGGAAGCTATTTCGATGGCACCGCGGGATGAGACATTACGAAACTATTTGAGCATCATCCGTCGTCGGCTGAAAGATGGGTCGGCTGATTAACGCATGTTTGAGCGATTTTTTTGGAATACCATTGAGTCTTCCCTTCCGTTCAATCTTGGCGTTTCGCCTCTGTCTGCTATACATGCTACAGCACTGCAAATTTCAGAAGCAGTGTGAATTTTTGTGTGACTGTATCTGCTCCTAACCATGACCTATATGCCCATGACTGTACTATTCTTTGGTCGCTTATCTAGATTGACATTTGCCCTTCCCCCACGTTTTCCGGTCCCGCCCACTGTTATCCAGTACACTGACCATAGCAGTTTTCTTACTTTAACATTAGCATTGACAATGACCTTTGAAATCGACAGCTATGATACAACAGCAACTCCATACTTTGTTTGTTTGCGATACCCTGCGTTTTCCGGCACATTTGTCTCATTCTCTCTTGTTCGACAACGTCTCCATACTTTCCATGTTGTCAGCTTTCCGAGTGCTTTTTGCTAGTCACTTGATTTCTGCCATACTTTTGTCATATTTTGGTTTTGATAAATATTTTATCAGCGTTTGGCATTTAAGTCCGAGTGAACTATTTCCCATCTTATCATTTACTCCTCTATGTATATTTACATATGGACACTAAATTTCTTTCTGTCGTCTTTCTACTACTCAATCCATACAACTTCTATCGGTCACACTTTTTGGATCTCCTTTCCTCTCCCAACAGTATCGTCACTTTGGGGGATCTCCATTTGGCTCATGCTGCCCGCGCCGATGTGGCTTAGTTAGGAAACCGTCTTGCCACTTGTGAGTAGTCGAGGCACATGTGTTCCTATTATCCTCGCAGTCCTTCACATGATTTCAGCTACTGCACGAATGAAACTTTTTCTTCTATAATTACTATGGCTGTGGTGTAGCATTGGCCCGCAGAATCACAATGCACAACGGTTATTCAAATTGCAATTGATGTTAAGGTTGCTTCTGTCTGTCAATTTTTCCATTGCAACCTTGTTCAACAGGTTGTCACACGTTTCTGTTTTTTCTTACTTTCAGTTACCATTACCGTATTTGCTGGCAGTACCCAGCGACCTATTATTACACGGTCACTCCCTCGCTTACAGTTGTCCTCCCTTTGCACTTACTAGACGACCTACACAATATTTGTCGGTGCGGATATCGATTTCTGCGCTAAGATCATCCTGATATTTGTGGCTTTCTTCAATCTCCATAGCTGGTTAGAAAATCCAAATCTTTTTTTCTTCTTTAGAGTTTTCTGTGGTGGATTAAAACCTTGTCCATTCTTTCCAGTTTTCCTTCGGAAGTATGCTTGAACTTACAAGCCCAGGTGATTATTTGTTATTTAAACCCACAAACACAGGTTTGTCAGTGTTGTCATATCGTGGGACTGATGACACACTATTATTGTATGGTTAGGTTTTCGGTCAAGTGTGGTAAGTTTTTCTGACAGTTTTGAGCTTGCATACCTTCATATGCGTCGAACACCATAAGTACCTGTGATCAAGTTCTTAAATCACGTGGACTGATCTATTTTACGTATGCATCATGTTTCCCAATCCTTCCTTACTTTAACACCGCGATTATGATTGTCCACTAGCGCTAGTCTTCGGTTCTTCCACTATGTTTGCCTAACTAACAAAGTTTCTTGGTCGACGAGGGCAAGAATTAGGCACATCGTCCGAAAACCACATTTATCATGCTGTTTTCCAACTGTCAAGCTTTAATGTCAAGTGCCCACAGAGAACGTGGAACGCAGGTCATGTCCCGGTACACTATTACTTTCACCTGTAGGGGTCCTTTTCTGGTGCACAATCATTCATTGCCAATTGCCCACTGATTGAACGAATTCCACAAGTGGGTGCACATCAGACATCTCCGATAATTGACGTGTTAGGAATAACTAGTACCAGGAAATTGTTGTTGTATTCCATATTCCGGCGAATTCGCCAGTCTCACCCAGTTCACACTCAGTCAACAATCCTTTACTGTTTGTACCCGGAGTTTGTGCTTATTGATCATCAAGGAAGCTGTGTCAACAAGTCCGTAACGTCCATATAATGGCACGCCTGCTGTCCGTGTTCCGGACCTTCTTGGTAATATTATCTGCTGGCAGTACATCATCATATTCGTCTAATCTTGTGCCATGGGGCAGTAAGTGGTCTATGGGCACATACTAACGGAGTCTGGCGCGTGTGAAACTGGATCTTTGGACGGCAGTAACGAATGCCTACATCGTTCTGCGTTTTTCACCGTCTGCTTATTCATGAACGGGTTCCAGATGCTGTTCCTCCGCCAGCTACCTAAATCTTGCTCAAGTACATTATATGTCAAGGCGTCATCCCTACCTCCACGTATTGTTTTCTCACCTGTGTCCACATAGTGACCTCATCTATCTACCATGACAAGTCACTCAAATTCACTAAATTCCATGTTGCTCGTGTGCCTATTGAATGCACGACCCAACTTGGAACAACACGCAGATGATCGAATCTTACACACGGTCCTGTTAGTTATGCGTTAAAACATCGCTCATTGTAGCAAGGTGTACGATCAGAGCTACAGTGATGCACGTATCTCTGCAAGTGATACTCTTCCACAGACAAACGTGCCTAATGTGAATTTTTCGGGAATTTTGCGTACCTTTGCAACTGACTGGCTTCTAATGAAATAGTTTTGTATTTCTGCTTTTGACCCCCTAGACTCAAATTGTCGCAGCTAATTCAATCGCTGACTGCTTACTAGCATGCCATCGCGCCTCCGTCATCGTGCATATACAATGCAAAAAAGACATCGTATACCCGGAAATAATGACACCAATTCCAATTTCTAACCGAACAAGGATAAACGATTAACTGAGCAAACACTACCGCTGATGATTTGCGATTAAATGTTTTTGATATTTCATGATTCGATAGAGTTGTACAGAATTCTTTCTACTTGCTCTTTAATACAGTCTCAGTCTCATAGTATCATCATTCATCTTTATACGCATTAGCTAGAGGTTAGAAACACCCCAGCCGTTGTGTCGTAATACCTGGGAAAGAATAAAAAAGACATAACCCAGACAAGCCAACTGAACTACCCGTAATGGATGGACATCGTTTCGGAGAGTTAACAGCCGGCGTTTTGTCTTATAGTATGTGCCTGAAATGAGATCGTGATTAGAGAGGGAACGGGCAAGCTGTACTCGACAGAAAATTTCGACTTTGTTGGTACTTTTTTGGGGACTTTTTCCAGACACTAAACAGCTTTATTAACGACTGTCACGTTAATCAGTTGGAGCATAGCTGGTGACCGTTTGCGTTCACTATCCCACGCTTTTGAATGCGTTTTTGAAATCATTATTGATGAACTCATGTGTCTTCTTCAACCTTTTCCGGACAGTTTTTGGTAAGATAAATCCGTTTTTATATTACTGCTTTCTCAGACCTTGATTCACCTTACTAACAATGCATGTTGTGTACTCTTACCTGCGTTTGTTTCCATAAAGTTATTTTGTCCGATAATACTAGTGTTACTGGCATACAACCTGATTGATACCTTAGTGCCTTGAGAGACTGCAGTCTTCATCACGTCGAGCGCCAGAAACCTTAAACGAGCGAAACTAATGCGAAACTAATGCAAGTGTCCTCACGCTTCTATCTTTAGTTTTTACTACTGTGGTCCGAATACAAGTTGACACGACGTTGACTTATCGTCATTACAGCATGTGTGCTTCCAACAGTTGCGTTTGATGCCCACAATTGTACACACGTTCGCGAATGCGTACGAATGCGGTCGGTCGTACTGGTAACAGCGAACTTAAATTCACTATCCTATTGTGCGATCAGTCGTGTCCCCCTTCCACTTTGCAGAGGATTGTTTACAAGTCCATTTTGTGACGAGCGGATTGCCTTCTACTCTCTTAACGATCCATCCAAAACCTTATTGATCTTGTGCATCTAATTTCAGCAGCGCAATGGGCAGATTCGTTTATCCTTCAGTGTTCCGAATTTTTGTTGCGAACACGCATTCACACATATTTTAAAGCAGAACAACGGTTTATCTCACGCATAGATCACGACTATCCTTCATCCCACGTCGAATGACTTTTAACTGTGTTTCCTACTTCATTCACGTGACCCTCGACGCGTGTTAAACAATCATTCCAGCCAATGGTATAAATACACTCGATGTTTCCAGATTAGTCTTTTTAAAGTATTCCTTCCAGTAGTTTACAAGTTACATTGCACAGCCTAGTCCGCAAAAGCACCGGATGCGTTTCGCCCTATTGGGGCTCGTCAGTGGTGCGCATTCCCCTCGGTCCCCTACTGAGGATCGAACCCATGGCCGCCAGAGGCAGATGCCAACCGAACAGTTCTTCGGAGCTTCATCACCGGCGGATTGTTGTACATTCAAAAGTACCATAATCGGCGGCGATGTAGGGGCACGTCAAATATGGCGTATTTACATGACCAAAAGAGGGGTTTGTGAGTGCCGCTAGCGTGTGTACTCAAATAACGTACCTATGAAAGTTGCAGATGGGTGTCTTCTTTGGATGCACTAGGTGTTTTGGATTTAAGCTACTTAGTGTGGTTCATCCAAACGGATACGTACTACTTCGAGAAAGCCGGATATTTGGAATGCTGACGTTTCCACTTGTTCCCTGTTGCGAATGGTTGGACTCGTTTAAGCATCATTATTCAGATGTATGATTATTTGCACAGACTTTAGTGCCATTATGTCCATTGATAAATGATGGCGCAGCATGCTGTTAGTTAATCTTGTTACCATGATATGGTAACTTGTTTTTTAAATACTTCGTTTCCATAATTCTCTTGTAAAATGTCATGGAGCGGTTTGTTGACACTTAAGCTCCATCTCATTAATCATCATGTACTTTGTTAATGTAATGTGCCGTAGATTTCCTTAGCGCAGGGTTGTGCGTTTTTGAACACATCATTAATCATCCGTACAAACCACTCACCCTGTTTGCAAACACACTTGATCAGAGGTCCAATGGATTCCACATTAGACTTGGATACAGCATATGCTGACGTGACAATACAAATGTCTAACCAGAACGTTACGTTTCATCTGCTAAAGACGATAAGGTTACTGGTTTGATGGGCTATTTTGAAGCACTTGTTGTCTGCGGGGTTACGTCGCGCAGTCTCATTGTGGACAGCGATTTACATTTAAGTTAACCTTGGGCGCATAACATACATCAACCCAAAGTGAATGCGTTCTTAAATAGCGATAAATGTCGACCGATCCTACATTACGCTAATAATGCGATGACGCACTAGGTTTGAAAGATGGTCCGGCTTCGTTTTCAGACATCAATTATTCGGCTGTTCCTGGGAAACAATAGAAGAAGATAGTTCAAATGGAATTCCAACATCAGGATAGCTTACTGGTGATGGTGTCCTGTGGTTAGACGATATCCTTCAACTACCCATTCTGACTGCCGACTGGGCGGTAGTTGGATCGAGGCAGCTGACGCTGGAGAAGGCGTTGGTCTGATCTACCTGGATTTTTCCAAGGTTTTCGATCGTCTAGACCATCGGATACTACTCTCCAAGCTTAAGCATTACGGGATCCGCGACTCTTTTAGCTGGTTGCCAACTTTCTA